CAGGTCTTTGCTATTGTAAACAGCGCCGCGGTGAGCATACGTGTGTATGTGTCTTTATAATCGAATGATTTATAATCCTTTGGGTATATACCCAGGGATTGCTGGGTCAAATGGAATTTCTATTTCTCCATCCTTGAGCAGTCGCCACACTGTCTTCCATAATAGTCGAACTAATTTACACTCCTACCAACAGTGTAAAAGTGTTCCTTTTTCTCCACATTCTCTCCAGCATCTGTTGTCTCCATCCAGATTTTTTAATGATCACCATTCTAACTGGCGTGAGATGGTATCTTAATGTGGTTTTGATTTGCATTTCTCTTATGACCAATGATGATGAGCATTTTTTTTCATATGTTTGTTGGCTGCATATTTATTTTCGAAAAGTGTCTGTTCATATCTTTTACCCACTTTTGAATGTTTTTTTTTTTTCCTTGTAAATCTGCTTTAGTTCTTTGTCACTTCTAGATATTAGCACTTTGTCTGATGGGTAGATTGTGAAAATTTTTTTCCCATTCTGTTGGTTGCCAGTTTATTCTGTAATTGTTTCTTTTGCTGTGCAGAAGCTTTTAATTAAGTCCCATTTGTCTATTTTGGCTTTTGTTGCCAGTGCTTTTGGTGTTTTAGTCATGAAGTCCTTGCCTGTGCCTATGTCCTGAATAGTTTTACCTAGGTTTTCTTCTAGGGTTTTTATGGTGTTAGTTCTTATGTTTTAATCTTTAATCCATCTGGAGTTAATCTTTGTATAAGGTGTAAGGAAGGGGTTCAATTTCAATTGTTCTTTGTTAAATTAACCTTGTATCTCTGTAATAAACCCAGATTACTTGCAATAAACCCAGATTACTTTTCATGTATCACTGGATTTGATTTGATAATAGTTTCTTGAAGATGTTTTAATTAAGGCTTGTGAGAGAGATTGGCCTGCAATTTTTTTTCTTGTTAAATGTCTTCCAAGCTTTAATGTCAAGGATATATTGGCCGCACTAATGAGTTCCAAGTGTTCCCTCTTTTTGTATTCTCTAAATGTATTGGAGACAAAATGATATTCCTCACACATTTGGGAGAATTTAGTGGTGAAGCCATCTGGCACTCAGGTTTTCTTAGTGAGAAAGTTTTATTTAAGGACTCATTTTTTCAAAGCAAATATAGAACTATTCTTATTTCCTGTATCTTCTAGTGTCAGTCTTGATAGGTTTGATTTTTTTTTTCAAGGAGTTAGTGTATTTCACCTAGTTTTTAATGGCATAAAATTGTTTCAAATATTCTTTTATAATCTTTAATTCCTGATGTTAATAATTTGTGTGCATTCTCTTTTTCTGATAAATCTTGGTAGGTGTTTATCAATTTTGTCAGTATTTTCAAAGAACTTACTTTGGCTTTATTGATTTTTCTCTATTTTGTACTTGTTTTCTATTAATTATTAATAATTTATCAGTTTTCCTCATTTCTTTATTTCTGTTTTTCTGTGATGTTTAATTGCTGTTTGCTTTCCAGCTGCTTGATGTAGGTGCTTACATTATTGGTTTTCATCCTTCCTTCTTTTCTAATATATCCATTTAAGGCTATACATTTTCCTTTAAGCATGGCTTCAACTGAATCCCAAGAAGCTTTGATATGCTGTTTATATTAATTCTCAAAATATGTTCCATTTTCCAAGGTAGTATTTTTTGAGTCATGGTTATTTAGAGGTGTATTGCTTAAATTCAGCACTTGGTCATTCTTAAACCCACATTTGGTTATTTATTTCTAGTTTACTTTTGTTGTGGTCAGGGAATATATGCTGAGTCATATTAAACCTTTGAAATATGTTATGGCTTCCTCAGTACTGGCACTGTAGTCTAGTACATGACCAATTTTAGTAAATTCCCCTATATGCATCTAAAAGAATGTTTATTCTGTATTTGGGCACAGAATATGTCACTTTCATCTTGCTTTTAAATTGCGTACTTTAGTCTTTCATATCCTTATCTATTTTAAAATGAGACATAATTCACTTGCCATAATATTCACCCTTTGAAAGTGTACAATATAGTGGTTTTTAGTATTTTAATAAAATTGTGCACCTTCACTACCATCTAATTCTAGAATGTTGTCATCACCTCAAAGGGAAACCCTCCTTATTTCTCCCTTCCTCCAGCCCTTGGCAATCACTGATCTACTAACTAAATTTAGTAATTCTAGACATTGGAGTAATTTACTAATTTACTCCTTGAATTGACTATTTCTGGACATTTCACATGAATAGAATCATGTAATATGTGGCCTTTTGTGTCTGGCACCTTTCGTTTATCATGTTTTTGAGGTTCATTCATATTGTTGCATGTATTAGTACTCCCACTACTTTATGTGGCTGAATAATATTCCAGTCCATCATCTTGTTTATTCATTTATCAGTTGATGAATGTTTAGGTCATTTCCACTTTTGAGCTCTTATAAATAGTGCTGCTATAAACATTTGTATATAAGTGTTTATGTGAACATATGTTTTCAGGTCTCTTGGGTATATACCTAGGAGTGAAATTACAGGGTCATATGGTAATGCTATTTAACTCTTTGAGGAACTGCCAGACTGTTCTCCAAAGGACTGTGCTTGCCATTTGACATTTCCACCAGCAATGTACAAGTGTTTCAGTTTCTCCACATCTTCAGCAACACTTGTTATTGCCCATCTTTTAAATTTTAGTCATCATAGTGGTGTGTGAAGTGGTATCTCATTGTGGTTTTAGTTTGCATTTCTGTAATGACATTGAGTGTCTTTTTGATATGTTTAATGGCCATCTGTGCATCTTCTTTGGAGGAATCTTAAACAGAGTTATTTTCCTTCAGTTGTTGAGGTGTAAGTGTCCTTTATCCATTCTGGATATTAGTCCTTTAGCAGATACAGGATCTTTGACTGTTTTCTCCCTTTTATTGCTTGTCTTTTCATTTCCTTGATCCTCATTTACTTTTTCTTCTGCTTGTTCTATCAGTCACTGAGCAAAGTGTGTTAAAATCTCCTGTTATAATAATAGATTTTCTAGTTTTTCCTTGTGATAGTATCAATTTCCGAGGCTTATTAGGTACATACAAATATAGAATGAAAAAAACCTCTCTGTTGTGTGGACCCTTTTATTGTCATGAAAAGTCACTCTACTTTGGTTAATGCTTCCTTCTCAAAGTCTCCCTGTTTGATATCAGTATGCTACACCAGCTTTTTGGGGGTGCTTGTGTTTGCATGGCTTCTTTTTTTGCCTTTTCACTGTCTCCTGTCTGTATCCTTATTTATACAGCATAGTTCCTGTAAGTAGTCTCTCTCTATATATATCTTTTAACCTGGTCTGATAATATTTGTCATTTAATGGAACCATTAATATTTAACCCCACTCATATTATTTAATTACTGACATATTTATTTTTTGAGAAATGGTTCTCACTCTGTCACCTAGGCTGGAGTGCAGTGGCATGATCATGGCCCACTACAGCCTCAACCTCCTGGTCTCAAGCAATCCTCTCACTTCAGTCTCCTGAGTAGCTGGGGCTATAGGCATGCACCACCATGCCCACCTAATTTTTTAATTTTTGTAGACATGGAGTCTACCCGTGTTGCCCAGACAGATCTTAAACTCTTGAGCTTAAGTGATCCTCCCACCTCAGCCTCCCAAAGTGCTGGGATTACAGGCATGAGCCATGGTGCTTGGCCAATTACCAATATGTTTAGATTGAAATCTAGCATCTTAACTTGGATTTTACTTGTCTAACCTAGTTGTGTTCCTTTTTCTCTCCTTTCTTGTCCTCTACTGGAATAATCATGTATTTTTTCAAAGATTTCATTTCCCTGTGCTATTAGCTTGTCATTGTTACATTATTTTACATTTCTTCTAATGATCACCCTAGTGATTACAACATGCATCTTTGATTTATTAGCATCTAATATAAATAATTACACTAACCGCTTTCTAGACAATGCAAACACTGAAAGCAACGTAACTCCATGTACCTCTTCTCACCTTTTGTGCCATTGTTTTCACATACATTAATTCCACATTTATTTAAAACCCTACAATGATTGTTATTAACAGTCAGTATTCACTTAGATTTACTCATTTATCCACCTTTTTTAGCTCTGTATTCCCTCCTGCATTTCTTTGCTTTCATCTGGCATAATTTGAAAAAACATTTATATTAGTATAGTTTTAGATTTATGGAAAAATCACAAAAATCATGCAAAGAATTACCATATGCCTCACACCCAGTTTTTCTCTATTATTAATATCTTAGTATAATACCTTTCTTAGAATTAATGAACCAATATTGATACATCGTTATTAACTAAAGCCCGGACTTTATTCACATTTCCTTAATTTTTACCTAATGTTCTTTTCTTTGTTATAAGATCCTGTTTAAAAAAGCACATTCCATTTAATTGTCTCTTTAGGCTCCTCTTGACTGAGATAGTTGCTCAAAGTTACTTGTTTTTTAAGACAGGGTCTTGCTTTGTTATCCAGCCTGGAGTGCAGTGACTAAACACAGCTCACTTCAGCCTCAACTTTCTGGGCTCAAGCCATTCTCCCACCTCAGCCTCCTGAGTATCTGGGATTACAGACAAGTGCCATCATGCCTGGCTAATTTAAAAAATTTTTTTAATAGAGATGGAGTCTTGCCATGTTGCCCAGGCTAGTCTTGACCTCCTGGGATCCAGTGATCCTCCCACCTTGGCCCCACAAAGTCCTGGGATTACAGGCATGAGCCACATGCCCAGCACTTGTTTTCGATGACCTTGACAGTTCTGAGGAGTTCTAATGTTAGAACTCTAATGTTAGGAGTTCTAATGTTACTCTGAGGAGTAACATTTTTGCAGAATGTTCCTCAGTTGGAATTTGTCTGATTTTCTTTCTCATGATTAGACTGGGGTTATAGGTTTTTATGGGGAAGAATCATAGAGGTAAAATATCATTTTTATTATATCATGTCAAGGGTATATACTATTTTTTAAAATTGAGATGGGGTCTTGCTATGTTTCCCAGGCTGGATTTGAACTCCTGAGCTCAAGTGATCCTCCTACCTCAGCCTGCTGAGTAGCTGGGACTACAGGTATGTGCTACCATGCCCAGCAAAGGTACATACTGTCAGGAAGCCCTTCAAACTGTGGATCTACCTCTGAATATGGGTAAGTACACCAAAGATCATTCCAGGAAATGACCATATGCCTCTGAGAAGGGATGAGAAAGGAGTTGTGGATCCTGTGTTTCTTTAGGGAATCTCAGTCACTACATCCCTCTGGAGATGTGAGCATCTTGCTGTGCTGAGGATAGTTGTGTTTAAAGATGTGTTTTCTTTACAAGGTGATCTTTAGATATAAAGCCAGTGATTTCGCTGGTGCTCATCCAAAGAAACCACAATTGTTCTGACACTGGAGGAAAAGCTGACTGCGCTGGAGAAGCGGGGTGTTGGTTTCCAGCATGGTCACACCTTCATTAGGGGTTCTCAAGGGGAATTCTGACTCAGTGGGTTATTTCGCTTTCTTCCTGACTTCAGATGTAATACCATAGTACCTCCCAAAGAGGAACAGTAGTCCATGGAGGCCATGCAGTCTAAATCTGTATTAAGGAAGTAACGCATTTCAAACCTAAATTCACCATAATTTGCACCATTTGTTCGGCCCACAGTTAAGGGGCAGTGTCATTTCCCCTCTGGTCATCCTGGGTTGCATACGGGCCATCTGTCTTTCATGACCAGGCTTGATCTGCACAGAGATGTGAACGAAGTTTTGCAATCATATTTTTTCTTTTCTTCTGCCTGTTACCTTTGGGCCATCATGTTCTAAATAGCTTTCTCTGATGATCAGAGTAAAGATATTTCTCTGTTCTTCCGAGCAAGTAAACATGAAACATCAGGGTAAAGGTGACAGCCGGACTCTGTTTTCCTGCACCTGTAGGCCTCGTTCTGTCCTGCAGAGCCACCCAGAAAAGTTCTACACCTTCTCCTCCTCCAAATATTTGCAGGTGGGCTTTTGAGCTCCCCCAAACCATATTTTCTCCAGTACAAACTTCCTCAGCTTTTCCAGTCAGTGTTCGTGACATAGTTGAGGGTCTCCTCACCATTTTAGTCATCCTTCTTTGAATGCATTCCTGTTTATTAAAACCTGGTACCCAGAGAGGTATCTAATATTTCAGGTGTCTTCCAAGCCCATAGTATTGCAGTATTACCCATTCTTTTTTTCTCAGTATTGTTCTGTTAATGCATTTTAGGGTCACATCATTACTATGATTATTTTATAGGCTAGTACTCATTTATTAATAAGGTATTTTTCAGAAATTTTCATACTCTATACCAAAGGCACTTCCTTGGCAAAGCGACCATATCTCTTTCTGTCTTGGTTTCTTCATCTCCAAATGGCAATACTTATGATCCTATGAGCTCACAGGACTATTGTGATGAATGAATGAGATACTCTGGTCAAGTTCAACCTAGTAAAAAAGTCACTGAGACTGTGTCTACTTTCTGACTGTGAGTACTGCTAAAGTCTACCCCCACCTCTGCTTGCAGAATTAAAGGAACAGGTTTATGCAAGGGTACGGGTCTACCTGTGGTGACTTGAGGAGTACCCAGAGGACCCTGTCTACCTCCTCCTGCTTAGAATATGCCCTTTGCTAGCCTTCTGTGATGCCTAGAATTTCATCCTTCACCCATGTGAGTCATTATTGAACCACAGGAAGTTAAAGATCAATCAGTCTTATCCCCCCCGCAACCCCTGGAGAGCTGCACATGACACCCACAGCTGGCTCCTGGAACCTTGAGCAGAGACCAGGTCTTCCAGTCTTTTTCGGAAGTTCTCCCATGAGGGTGTGAGTGGCCAGGGAGATGTCCTAAAAGGGATGCTGGGCTTGGGGTGGCTTAGAGGGCAATTTCCCACCAGTTTTGCCATTTTCTTCAGTCAGAAAGTGAGCAACCCATGGCCAGTCCCATGGCTTGAGCACAGCCCAGTAGGGCTCAGAGTTGGTCCCTGGTATGTGGGAATGACTGACCCTTGCAGCAGAGCCCATGCTGGCCAGCACAGCTGATGCTACACATTTTAAGCAAGAGTAGACACACATAACCTGGATCTCCAAAACCCATGCAGCCCAATCTATCCCAGTCTGAGTCATCTTTCTCATCCAGACTTGAGTCTTAGTTAGAGCACTGCCTTGGCCTTTAGTGAGGCCCCCAAAATGATGTCAATGTTCACGCTCAGCTGCCCTTGTCTCAACCAGGCTAATGAGGGGGAAAACGTTCTTTGTTTTAGGCCAATTGGGTCTTCTCTGACTGCAGCTGTTTTCCTTTTTTGTTCCTACAAATGCTGGGCCAACCCACATAGTTTAAAGCCAAGGTCAGGACAGAGAGGGAAGGAGCTGTCCCCTGGTCACCCTGATACCTGCTGTTGGAAATCAGCCAACAAACACAAACCTACTTTGCATCCCGTGAGTGTGCACGTATGTTGGTTTTTAGGTGCTGCAGGATATGAGGAGGGCTGGGAAAGCTCTGCATGTGCCTGGGGAGCATGCTGGACCTCCCTTCCAGCTGCAGAAGGGGTCAGCACCCTGCCCCCACTGGGCTTGCTTGAACCTCTAAGAGACCTCTGGGCAACATGCTGTTCCTTCTGACTGCCTCTGTCACCACTGCAGATCAAGTCTTCCAGGTCATCAGTCACCACGTGGCCCTTGTCCTGGGAGAGTTCTGCATATGCGCTCCTCCTTCACCCCTCTTCACCCTCCAGATCTTTCCACTGCACTCTTGGGAACTGTCTCCTAGAGCCTTCCCTCCTCTGAAGGTGCCTTCACCTTCTTCTTTCACTGAAGCCTACTTGTCCTCAGGGTCCCTGCTCCCTGCAGCTGCTCAGGTTGAGGCTGGTTTCTGTCACCTACAGGCAGGTGTCAGGCAGGGCCTGGACATGGAGGGGTTACCTGTTCCTCCCTGTCAGTCCTCAAACTCTTGTTTCTACCCCCAGTGACTCCAGTCCCCAGCTCCTTTCTTCGTTCACCTCTCCTCTCACTGACTCTGACACCCACCTGGACCAGTCCAACAACATCCTGGCTCCCCCACCTCCTCAGACCCCTGCCTTCATTTGATTTTAGCCGCCACTGAGATCTCAAAATTTGCTTTTATTTAAAACAATGTTTTAAGTTTACCTACATAACATTCTTTTTCTGATGTACAGGGCTGTGGTTTTTTAGATGTGCATGGATTCTCACAGCCACAGACAGTACATGCAACCATTCCAGTACTCCGGAGAACTCCCTCATCTTTTTTTACTGCTGCCTTCTGACAAGCAATGAGCTATTCTTTGTTTCTGTATTTCTGCCTTTTCTAGAATGCCATATAATGAAATTATGTAGAATGTGCCTTTTTGGTACTGGCTTCTTTTGTTCAATAGAGTAATACCTGTGAAATTCATCCATACTCTTCTCTGGGTCAAGCATGTTAACTTTCATTGCTGAGTAGTAGCCCATTGTGGAGGTATTACAGTTTTTAAAAATCTCCCCGTCGGAGGACATTTGGGTTGTTTTCAGTTCTTGGTGAGGATGAACAATGCTGTTCTAAACATTTGTGTGCAGATTTTGTATGGACTTAAAATCTTGACTTTTTAAAAATACCCAGAAGTGGTCATTGCTGGGTCCTATGTGTGTGAGATCTCAATTGTAAGCTTCCTCTCCTCTGACAACAATGTCCTATCCACATGGTTCCATTCTCTAACACATCACACTGACCACTCTGACCTCACTAAGCTCCAGTTCACTGAGCCTGCCATTTTTTTCTTTGATCATGAACCTATTCATTTTTTCTTTCCTTCTCATACAACTTAGTGATCCATCATAATAGTCATTCTAATGGAAACATTCCTAACTCCCTTAAACATACCCTCTTGGCTGAACCACAACCTGGTAAACTCAACTACCCACCCATTTAGCCTCCATCAGAGTAGAACAGTGTGGCTGGAAGAAAACACAACTGTGCCACGGGTCAGTTCATGACCATAAATCTCACTTGAGCTTCTGATTCTGATCCTCAATCAGTCTGACCTTCTAATGACTATTTCATATTTGTATCTCTTCAAACCTCTGACAGCCTCATTTATCACTGGGGAAACAGCGATCAGACTAAAAATTGCTCTTTATCTTCCCGCCACCAATTCCACCTGATTGACTAAGTCTTTACTCCCTTCTCTGCCTTCCTCCTTTTAAAATGATGAGCTGTCCATACTTCTGTCTGAAGCCAGCTCCTCCATGGTGCAGTGGATTCCATCTGTGCCCATCAGTCATTTTATTTCTACAATTCTCTCTTTCCTGCCTTCATCAACTTCTCTTTCTGCCATCACCATTTATCTCCTAATGTGGCTCATCTTCAAAAATAATGTCCCTTACCTGCCCCCCCAAAAAACAGTAGCTTTTTTGACATTAACCTTGATCACCTGACAAACACCTCAGCCAGGTGATCAAGGTTAACATCAACAGCGATGAGTCATGATGGTGGCATGTGCCCTTGCTGTGGTGTGAGGCAGTGATAATGGCACTGTACCTCTGTGGTCTTCCTTTCCAAAACCCACAACTTCCGTCCAACCAGAAAAACACCATACAAATCCAAATAGACGGATATTCTACAAGATACTTAACTAGCACTCCTCAAAATTGTCAAGGCCATCAAAAGCAGGGAAAATCTAAGAGAAACCTACGGAGACAAGACAAGTAAATGTAATATGGTATCCTGACTAGGACCCTAGAACAGAAAAAGAAAGATACTAAGTAAAACTAAAAACCTGAAGAAGAAAGTACAGGCTTCAAATTATAAGGTACTAATACTGGCTCATTAATTGTGTCATATGTACCAGAGTAATGTTAACAATGGGGAGGCTAGGCACAGTGGCTCACGCCTGTATTCCTACCACTTTGGGAGGCCAAGGAAGGACAATCCCTTGAGCCCAAGAGTTCGAGACCAGCCTGGGCCACATAGGGAAACCCTGTCTCTATTCTAAAAATAAAGTAATAGAGGAAACAGAGTGCAGAAAACTCTTATAATAGTCTCACAGGCTTTCTGTAAACCTAAAACTATTCTAAGATAAAAGTGATTAAATATGAAACCATACACACACTCTCTCTCTCTTTCTCTCTCTCTCCCCGCCCCCCCCCCCCCAATCCATGTCATCTTCTTGCTTCACTCCATTTCCCCACACAGGAAACCTTCCTGAAGGAGTTGCATACTGCTACTGTCTTTATCTCCCGACTCCAGGCAGCTCATTCCTCAGTCTACTCCAATCTGCTGTCCTTAGCTCCCCACCAACACTGCTCTTGTTAAGGTTGATGAGGTGCTCCATGTTGGCAAATCCAAGTCAACTTTTTCCCCTTCCCTTCCCTTTCAGTCTAGTGTGTGTATAACCCAGTTTACTGTGCCCTCCTTCCCGCAGCACCCTTGTCACTTGGCTTTTGGGGTACTATAACCCTGGATTTCTTCCTGCTCCTTGCTGTTCCTGCTCAGTCTGGCTTCTACCAGTGGCTTAGGTTCTGTCTCTGGACCTCTGTTCTTTGTCGGCACGCTCTTATCTCAAAGGCATATTTCATCCCATCTCACAGAGTTAAATACAGTTTACCTGCTGCACATTCCTAAAGTAGTATCTCCAGCTTTAAACCCTGTGAGGTAGGGACTGCTGTCACCACCATTCTACAGGACATCAGACTTAGGTGATCAGATGGGTAGAGGGCTTCCTTGAGGTTACACAGCAGGAAGTAGCAGGGTTGGGATTTGAACCTAGGTCTGTCTGACTCTAGGCCTGTGTTAGGAACTGCCAGGCTGCCCCCTCCTTCCCAGCCCCTGTCCTGCCTGCTCCCCAGGGCCTCTTGCATGTGTACTGCTCATTCTGGCCTCAGGCCTTTGTCTCCCTGGTCCAATTCTCCTGGAATGACCTCTTTTCCCCCTGCCTGTCTAATCCTCTTCCATCCCAGCTCTGGTGGGAGTTTCTCTATTCCTAAGACCCAGGCCGATCTCCGCTGGCCGCCTCTGGACGCTTGTAGAAGCTGGAGTCCACCTAAAACAACTGAGGGCTCACTTGCATCATTAGTTACCATGATTTCTGAACCCATGGTGGGGCCCTTGGCCCATGTACAGCTGTACCCACGGGGACATGGAAGCACGTGATCTAACTGGCCCTGGCTGGGAAAACTGGGCCATGGGCCTCCATCATCACACACCATCTCAGGGTCTCAGTCATCCACGGGGGCTCTGTTTGGTTTCCTCTACTAGGTGGAAAGCTTCTAGAGAGAAGGATCATCACTGCTGAATAAATATAATTTTTAAGCACTATGTATATTAGGTGGGGCTGGGGAAGTCCTTCAAAATCCTTTTCTCCTGGGTCCTAGGGGGCCAAGGAAAGTTCAGTCCAGTAGTGAAAGAATTGATTTAGACTTCATTAAGGTCACAGAGAGGCTGAGAAGTTCCCACAGGGGTCACTGACCTCAAAGGAATATTTGGAAGAAATGGGGGTGACAGGATCATTTTTGGAAGAACTGAGAGTGCCGGAGAGAAGTGACGAGGAGGGATGACCAGGACACTGGAAGGGAGATGTCGGAAGGGTTGTGTGGGAGACACAGTGCTGGCTGAGACAGCGATAGCTGGCCTCCAGGGCAGAGAACACAGCCCTTTCACTTACATGAGTTCAACCCGTTCCCAGCCCTGTCACTAATTCCTTGTGTGACTGCAGGCAAGTCACCTTGTTTTCCTGGGCCTCAGTTTCCTCATCTCTAAATGAGGAGTTTGAAAAAAAGAAGTGATGGGGTTGGGCGACTGTTTCCAGCCCCCTCTCAGCATCCTGAATCTATCTGAGATAACATATCCTGTGCTGTCTTGCTCCGGAAAGGAAGAGCCAGTTTAACCTGACCGTTCTCCTACAGGCCTCCTGGTAAGAGTTCTTTTTCACAAAAAGGTAGAGTTTTTTTGTGAGGGATCCAGGAGAGGAAGGATGTAAGTGGTTGAATCTCGCATGTTGTAAAAGAAATGAATCTGCATTTCCTTGATTTCCAGACAAAACAGTTGATTCACTTCATTCACTTTCTATCCCCAATTGAAATGGGCATCAAAGCCCATGCTTGCAGAATGGCATCAGTTGTCCTGCATGACCAGAAGGGGTAGGGTTGACCCTTCTGATGTTCCAGCCTTGGGTCAGAGTCCCTCTTGCAGCAAGATTTCTTATCCATAAGCCTGCCAACCAAGACAAGTGCTGAGATATTGTAACAGTCCACTAGAGTTTGCTTGCCTAGAGGGGAACATATCTAGCATCAGGAGAACCCCCAATGGCTGAAGGATTGCTAATTCTGTGCAGGCTCCTGCCTTGGTCCTTGGACATCTGGTCACACAGGCATGTACCTACTCCTAAGTCACCTACATTTTGAAAATAGAAAATCAGAAGCATTGAAGTCTTCACTGGATTGCTTGAGACAAAACATGAAGCAGTGATGGCTTGTGTGGGTCTTGTGTCTTGTGCTGGGAGGCTGAGCTCCTCTGACCCATCAGGAACAATGGCTTCATTGTGCTCCTTTTTGGCTTGCTTCCTGGACTTGGAAGCAAGAGGAGCTTTGAGCTGCCCAGAACCCCCAGGGGCAGGAGGGTATAATCATGGCCCAAGGACAGCACTGTGGACCCCATGGGACCCTGCAGTTGTTAGGGAGTTGGGATAGCACCTTTCCAGGCCTGAATCCTGAATTTGCCAGTGCTCAGAGAGAACTCTGCTCCTGAATATTGGGCTGAGATGTGTCATTCGCAGAAAACCTTCAGAAAAGAACAGGTGGTGTTTTCAGGAAGTCCAAGATGACAGGCAAAGGTGGGTGGGAACCTGGCGGAGCCCAGAAACTCCAATCTGAAGGTCCAGGCCCCAAGATTGGGAAGAGAAGAGTAAGCGAAAGAATGAGAAGGAGGTCTAAAGGCTAAAATAAAGTAATAAAGACATGAATTTTATATTTAGAAATGAGAAGAGGGTCCCATCATAGAGTCAGCCTCCTGGCCAGCAGTCTAAGGGGACAGAGGAGAGAAGCATGGGCCAGGAGGGGTTTTAGGTTTCATTTCTCCCATCAACAAGCTGTGCCTTGCTTAAGTCATCTAATAAGATCCTCAGTTTCAGCTGCAGAATGGGTGCTCATGGTATTGCTTAGACTTAGGATCCAGTGAGCTAACAAGCTCACTATCATGTGAGACCACACCATGTGGACCAAATGGTTAGGCAAAGTACATGCTGCTGGAATGGCTGGTTCTAGGATGGACAGTGAAAGCAGAGGTTGCTGCGCCATCTCTCCCCTTGCCCCCCATCTCTATGGAGACAGTCCATGTGAAAAATTAACAGTCTTTCCTTCACCAGTCTTCTTATCTGCTCACTTCAGTAGTCTCAAAGATTTGTGCTAATGTTCAGTTTCTACAAACTACTTAATACATACTTCACTTTACATTGGCATAGCCCATGATAAATCCGCAAGAAATAAGAGCCACCAGCAGTGGTAGGATCAGAATACTTTAATAAGATACCAGTGTCAAAATACATTTCCTTATAAAGTTAAGCTCCCATACAATTATAATGTTGTCAGTAGGAATTCGACAATATAATAATGTTCATGAAATTGTTATGTTGACAGGTAAGGTTAATATGAAGCTTGGAATCTTTTTCAGAGTGTTTTAGTAAAACTGCAAGGGTAAAATGCCCTTAATGCTGGGCGACACACACAGGAAATTAAATACCAGCATTTACATGTCAGTAACCCTTCAAGTTCTGCCACCCTGTGTGGGGTAACGCTCTGCAGCTAAAATATGATTTAGGCAACACCATGACTAAGGAATTGCTCATATACCTTAAATTTATTTTGAAAAGCTACTTTTTGTTTTTTGGCAATAAGTCCATCTTAGGCTTACCACATAGTTGGCCCAATGTGCTTTGTGTGTGTTTTTAGAAACTTCTTCATTGTACCCATTACAGAAAAGTTCCATGTAGTTGGTATTGAAAAACCAGAGGTGTCATCCCTCCTACCCAGTAAGTTGTAAAGTGCTCCGGGAATACTATTTTCAGTGCTTCCTACCTATTCATGTGACTACCCTACCCAGAGACCTCAGCCAGGGCCTGTGGCCATCCCTGGAGGCCTTGCAGGGCCATCTGGCTGCTGGGTGAGGGGGCGCTGCAGGGCTGGTGAGGACCAGCTGCTCTCCCTCTGTGCAGCCTCCTCCTCAGTCCAGCTCCACGGGGCTCCAAGGTCATGAGCTTGGAGGACGTGGACCGAGTCATTACCCCATGTCTGACCCCTCGCTTGCATGAATTCCCATCTAAACCATCTCACGGTAGTTCTGGAAATGTCCAAATGTGCCGTGTGAAAGACCATCCGAGTCACATACCTCAGTGCACTTGAAGGGCTAGCAACAAAACCTTAAGAAGAGTTAGAGCACTTCCTCACCCCGCGGCCCCACAATGTGCCATCAGACCCTCTTGGCAGCAATAATACATACATACATACATAGTACATAGAGAACGTGAGGAGATAGCATGCAGTGCTCCCACTGAGTGACTCCACTGCTCGGATTGTCACACCTATGGCATATCACAGATGGCAAAATGCCGACAGAGAGAGGCCTTCCACAGTGTCCATACAGGCTGTGGGAGCACTGGGTAAGTCTGCAGTGTCCACAACACCAAGAAAAATAAAATTAACAGCTTCAAAAAGATCTTAAAGTGATTTTGTGAGCAGGATTCCATTTCCGTTTCTAAGTTTTTAGATATTACAAAGTACCCATATATATGATAAACACTTAACCCAGATATAAATTTTTTCTTATAAAAACCTCAGTTATGTTTTTGAATAATAATACAAAATCCACTGAATGCGGGGGGGAAACACCAGTTTAGGAAAAGCCACACTGCAACTTTCACAGATAACCACATACGTTGGAGTTCACCCTTCACATGTCTTTTTTTCTAAAATTAGAGCAAAGAGTCAGCTTAAACCAAAAAAAACCCCTGAAATTTACAATATGGTGATTAGTTTTAAAAAAGAAAGGAGAAGGGCTCTGCAAGGGAGAAGCCACAAACCAAGCTTGGAAAGCAAAATCATTTTTGTTTCTCTTTGGCAACAACAATAATGAGGAATCTTTTTAGTAAAATGAAGCCAAAGCTCTCCCTACAGGAGAACAGACATGCACCAAACTTGTTAGTATGGACAGCTGTGTGTGAGGAGGGCAGCGAGGCAGAGAAACCTATAGATAATATAAATTAGAAGGAATTGAAGGTAGAGAGAAAAAAATCTTACAAAGTTTAAGAACATTTCGAAACAGGTAAAACAATTATGTACTTTAAAAATATAGATAATAAAGTGAGCATCTCAGAAAAAGGCCACTGCTTGGTGACCTGGGCAAGTTTGCCAGGTAAGTTCATCTGTAAATAGTGTGCTGGCGTTAGAAATACCTAGTTGCAAAAACAGATGGAGAGAGTGAAGCTGGTGGGACGGCGGCAGCAGAGGTGCTGCCCAGGTAGAGGGCCTGGCTCAGGTGGCCTGGTCCAGGGCTCTGAGGAGGTCCCCTCCTTGCAGGAGCGTGGAGCTTCCCAGCACGGGCACGTTCACCTCACAGTCATATCTGGTCAGTTCGGGCAGCAGGTAGGACTCAAATGAGGGCCCGAGAAGACGGCTTGCCATGCCTGAAAGAAGGGTGGCTACCATAACTTAAAAGGCCTAAATCAAACATTCGGAAAAGCGTTTACTCCTTTGTGACTGGGGGATACCAATTGGGGAGCCCTAATTTCACTCTGCTCCTTCAATGGTGTCTCTCCCATGGCCTGCTCTGGGGGAATGTGTCTGCCTCCAGACCCATTGCCTCAGGTGGGGCGCTGAGACCCAACAGAGAGGAAAGCGGGAGGTGCAGGCTGCAGCAGAGGTGGGTGGAAGGAACCCCCACTGAGACTTCAGGAAGAGCCCAGGGTTGCTGACCCCATGCCCACGGGCAGCTGAGAGGGAATTCTGAACCACCTGACCCCTTTTGCTCACATACACAACATGCAGAACACATCCACATGCAAACACATCCTTCTTCAAGATTCAAAGGTCTGAAAATCCAGTTTCTGGTCACCACCCTTAGCGGTCCTTTCTTCTTGCCTCTGGGCTATTCTGCTCAAGATGTAGACCCAGGAGTGGCAGAGAGGACACTCACAGCACTCACACAGGCATTGTCTCAGGGAGGGAAGGCCTGGGTGGCAGCAGAGAGCCTGGAAGCTCTGCATTCTGCCCTCCAGTGTGATGTGTCCACATGCCTTTCCTGGCCCTCTCTGCAGAGAGCTTCATCCTGGTGGCCATTCCCTCCTACACCTCCTAGCCCAGATCCTTGCTGGGGTCCATGCCTGCCTCCCCCACTTGACTGTGCTCCTGTGGACAGTATTAGTGGATACCTGCTCACCATCCCTTGCCAACTTCCTCTCTCATTCATGGTCAGGAAGGAGTTTAGTATGATTCAGCTCTTTTGAAAAGAATACGATTTTCCCTTGATTTCAATATTCAAGGTAACTTGTGGGTTTCATAACAGGAAGAGTAACACTGGTTACCTCTCACTGCACACAAATGTATAACAGTCACTGACCTCAACAGCAGGGCTAGAATTTAAGCCAGGGCTCTCTGGGGGTTCTATAGCCTGGACTCTGAAGCACAGAACTATAACTAACTTTCCCCAAACTATATTGCTGAGGAATTTGCCTCTTAGGACAGGGGCCTGGTATGTTTTTCCATAAACTACAAATTATTTTCATGTCAAACAGAAACCTCATGAAGACATCTATGTTTCACAAGATACTATCAAAGGTGGTCCAGGGTTGAAGGCAGGCATAGGTGCCTGCAGTTGAATCAAGTCCAGTGGGGTGGGCCTACCAGAGCTTTCCAGGCTGCTCTCCCTGCAGCCATTTTTGGCATGTGCTCAGCACCTGCCTGAAATCAGAATGACATCCCAGTGTGTCCAAGGGGCTTTAAAAAACACATCCACATGAAGAACTGAGGAAAGCATGAGGCTCTGGGATTCTCAGGGTAGAAAGAGCCCTGGATGGGCCGGGCGCGGTGGCTCACGCCTGTAATCCCAGCACTTTGGGAGACCGAGACGGGTGGATCACAAGGTCAAGAGACTGAGACCATCCAGGTCAACATGGTGAAACCCCGTCTCTACTAAAAATACAAAAAATTAGCTGGGCATGGTGGCGCGTGCCTGTAATCCCAGCTACTCGGGAGGCTGAGGCAGGAGAATTGCCTGAGCCCAGGAGGCGGAGGTTGCGGTGAGCCGAGATTGCGCCATTGCACTCCAGCCTGGGTAACAAGAGCGAAACTCCGTCTCAAAAAAAAAAAAAAAAAAGAGCCCTGGATGTCACCTGATCATGGGAGGGTTCCCTCTAAAGCCCCAGGGACAGATGGCCTTCCAACCCCCTACTGTGATACTCCTCAGAAGGAATGCTCCCTCCTCCATGCAGCAAGCTCATCCTTGCATACAGCGGAGATCCTCTGCCTCTGGCAAAACTCCTTCCCGACTTTCACTCTGAACCATCGCTTCTTCTACAGGCCCTCACCACTCTGGCGGCCCACTCTTTCATCTGAAAGTGCCCCTGCTGGTCAACACCGGTACAGTGTTCTAGGGGTGGCCAACCCAGTGTTCAGCCCTCTGTGGTCAGGATTCTTTCCTTCAGTCTTCTAGCCTGAGTTTGCATTTGGTGTTTTGAGTTTTTTAACTTTGTCTCAGACCCAACCCCTGGGGGTCCTGGTCACTGATGTCACAAGGAACTTGTGAGGATGTTCCCTAAATGCAAGGGGGGCCTGAGCCCTGTGCCTGGCACTGTGCAGATACTGGAAAAAAGCAGAGGTGGGCTTCCCCTGGCATCAGTTCCTGGGCATACCCACCTGACACCTTGTGAGCTGATGACAGGCTGTAGTCCTGGTACTGGGTGGCATAGCACTGTGGGGGGAACCTGCTCTTGCTGTTCTCCCCAGGGCTGATGGCAGATGGGGGCTGTGGTGGCGGCAGGTGTCTCAGGGGCTGGCCCAGGCCCCTCATGGGGTTTTGGATGAACTTATCTGAAAGACCAAAGTCAAGAGAGTGACGGTAGTGCTGGCCTGAGATGGGGAGAGGCCAGGAACCCCCCAGCATCCGCTTTCCTTTATAAACTGCTCAGAGTCACCACAACTACAGCCAGCCCTCAGGACCCTCTGATGGAGTCGTGTAAGCCAAAGTAGAAATGGGAAAGTTGGGTGTGTGGGACTGGAGGGGGACAGAGGACATGGCCCCATCCTAACAAGGCTCAGAGAGGCAGGTATGGCTGGTGGTGAGTGAGTAGAAGGAGGGGCTCCCAAGCCCTGGTTTTTCCACTAGAACCCCCGGGGAAGCCCAGGCCTGTGGCCACTGCTCACCATTGGGGACATTTGCACTCAGTGGCTTGTCCGGCATCAAAGGGCAGCTCCCGCCCCTGAGGTTCTTCATCCGTTTCCACATCAAATGTGAAGTGTTGCCACCGGGTGGGTCCCCCTGGGAGTAAAAAGGGCAGATAGAGAGGGGAGAGGACTAGAGAACCAGGTCCCTAGACTCGGTGGGTTGTGTGGGCATAGAACAGCTCCGCCTGGAAGAAGGGTGGCACTTATGGGCTTGGAAGGGCCACATCCCCATCCCTCTCAGTAGCCCTGGGGTTCCCTAAGGGCTATGGAGAAACCCCTGTGGCCAGTCAGGATAGCTTACCCCACTCAGGTCCTGAAAGGCTTGCTCTTCATATTCCAGCTGTCGCTTCAGCTTCAGCTTGTTGGAGAGGGCTACCATGGCTGGGCTCAGCATATCTGGGCCTCGAGCCCCGAAACCCTTTGCAGACCTGCCAAGCCCAAGAGAGCAGGCTGTGAGGGAGTCTGGAGTCTCATGCCACCCAGTGCCTTCTCATGCTAGGGCTCTTCCAGGCTCAGTGCTTATGCCTGCACTGACTCAAAGACCCAAAAGGCAGAGTCTCAGAGGCAGTGCTGCCTCCTTCCTCAGCTGTAGGATGCTGAAGGGCTCAAGCCTCCTGGTCTGGGGGGTGGCTGCCTGGCTGGGCAGTGTCAGTCCTTAGGAGGGTTTCTTTTGCCCCTGTCTCTCCCCTGCCTTTTGCTCCCACTGAAAACTAGTTAGGCTGCTCTATAAAGGGCAAGTAGCAGTGGCCCCTGGGAGTGGCAAGTCATGTACCAACAACTGTGGCTTAGCCCACTGAGCTCTCAGCTGGTGAAATGAGCATGCTGGAGAGATGGGAAGGCACTTCTGGAGCCTGGGCACAGCTCAGACAGGCTGTGGTCGTGGGGACCTGGGGGCGGCATGGGTATCTTTTTGCTTTCTTCAACCAGGGTTTCAGGACAGCATTGAGAAAACTGTCACTCACATTTTCTGTGAGATGATGAACCCAGATAAGAAGGGCACCCTGTTGGTGGTTGTAGGGGCAACACTGAGGTACAGGGCTCTCAGAAAGCCACTTCTCTCCTTGTCCTGTCCTCAGTCTCCCCTTGATCCCCTCCAGCCCTAATAAAAACCTGTCCTGCTCTAGGCCTCACATGGCTTGAGGTGATTCCCCAAAGTCTGAGCTCAGAGAAGGGCTAAATGGGGTATCAGGTGGATGGCTGTGGAGAGGGGCAGGGGCCTCCCTGGGGGTCCAGCTCTCTTAACTAGTGGGTGTCTCTCTGCTCCACCTTGCCTAGCACAGCCTTGCTGGTGCAGCTGAGTGTCTGCCACTTACCTTGTCTTGAATGTGGAGACATGGGGCGGGGAGACAGGGGGCCCCAACGTCGCTGCTCCCAAGAACTCTGTGTGCTGATCACCAACAGCCCACTTCATGGGCCCAAAATGTAATGGTGGATCTGGGGGCCACTGGGTGTTGGATCTGCCCCCCATGGAAGAGAGAGGGGTGCTGGCCTGGCCACAGCATGGTGGCAGGGATGCTTTGCTTCCTGCATCAAAGAAGATGGAGGACATGGGCCGGTGCTCGGGCTCTGTCTTCTTGCTCTCCAGCTGCTGCTGAAACTTGTCCAGGAGGAAGGGACTGTGCGAGGCTACAGGGGCCAGTGGCTGGAAGATGTTTGTCATGGCACTGAAGCAGTTCTGGGGGGTGGACTGTGGGTTCTCTGGCAAAAGCCGCTCCTCCGGGCAGATGGGGCTTAGCTGGAAGTCTTCCCCGTCCATAGGGATGTAGGGTGCCAGTGTCTCCAAGTCCAGCTCATTGAAATCCGTCTGAGGGGAGACAGCACAGGCAAAGAGGCAAGGCGGTTGGTGCGACCTCACGAACACTATTCCATCTTGGCTCCTGCAGAACCATCATCTCAAGCAGTTTCACAGTGCTGCTCAAACACCGCCACTGGCTCCCTATGGCCTATCAGGAAAACCTCAGACTTGGCTATGGCATGTACACCACCCTCTATCATGTACCAGCCTTTTCCCACGTTTATCCCCTCTTTACCCTGCACATCAATGCCACCTCCCCAACCCAAACTGAAATGTTCTCCTCTCTCCGTCTCACCTGTCCAGAGCCCACCTTCTCTCGAGGCAGCCCCTCTTCCAAAGAGCCAGCCCTGCCCACTCCAGCCTGTGGAGGTTGCCCTTGTCCTACAATGCTTAGGCCTGTGCTGCACACTGTGGCTTCTGGGGAGCTGAGGAAAGCTTGCCCTCTTCTCTCTATGTTGGCACAGGCCTAAGCAAGCAGTGAGTACCCAGGTCCATCTGTGGACTCTTGCAGAGTAACAGCCAGACCCCAGGGATAGAAGGAGTTTGGTTCCAATCAACATATACTCAGAGATCATCCCTTAGGTTGGCAGTATCACGATGGATGCTGCAGGGAACACTCACAAGCAGATGTGGAAAACAGTTTCTAACTTCAGAGACTGACCACCCTCACTAGGTGTCAGCTGACTAATGACTGCAATGCTAAGAAATGCTTAAGGAGCAGAAGCAGATAGTCATGATTAAGTCCTACATGATAAATACTACAGTAGTTCTGAGGAGGGAGGGAGGGAGGGAGGGAGAGGGTGACAGAAAAGCTGAAATAGGGAACGTTTTGTAGAGTAGCTGGGATTTGTGCCAAGTAGGATAAAGATACAAACTGAGTAGCAAGGCAGAAATCTGGTTGAACCCAGACTAAGATAAATGGGGGATTAATTATTTTCCCTTGGGTTCTGTAAAGCATGTACCTCTCCCTCTACCTTATCCTTGTTTACATAGTTTTTACAAGAACATTGGCCTATGTAACAAATATGTTCCTGAAAAGGTTTATGTAAATGAAAAATTGTCAAACAGATGTTATTTTTAAGTGCATTGCATATACAGTGATTATTTTTTAAAATCACAAGATGAATGTGTTTGTAGAGGGATTCATTGTCCCCTATGTTTACATATGTTTTATACATTTGGCTATGCTTGTTGAAGGTAGGGCCTTTTTAAAGAAAGGTGCAGTGGTATTGTTTTGGTTTTCATGTGCGCTAAGAAAGTTATCTAAGTAGAAGATACATATGCTATGAGTTACCAGTGGAGGAGTGGGTGACCACAGGCTCCAATACCCAGCACCCCCACCTGGTTAGGGGATCTGCGCCTTGGCCAAGCATTCCCACTGCTCTCTGCAACAAAGGGATGAGGCTACAAGAACTGATGAGAGCCTCTGTTGTCTACCAGATGGCGGGCACACACCCTAGCCTGATCTCCACAGCCACCTACCTGGGTGCTGCATTGGTCCTTGGCCTCTGTGTCCATGGCAAAGAGCTTCTCAATCACTTCAATTTTCAGGTCGTTATCCAGAGAGGTGTAATAGTCTTCAGGGCTGTTGGGCTGGGGGGCAGGAAGGAAGAGGACAGAGTCAAAGATATGGCATTGGTCTCCCTAGAAGTCCAGCATGGAAGAAGAAACACATTGCTGGACCCAAAGGCTCAATTCCATTCCACCACACAACTATTTGTAGAGAAGCCACTAATTAACGAGCTGTATGAATTAGGTCAATTCATCAACCTCTCTCATAAAATGAGGCTAGTTTTGCTTCATAGGTTGTCCTGTCTTGAGGAGCAAACAGGATACAGACTATAGCCAGCAGGGCTGTGCAAACTGTGCAGCTGTATGCCACATAGGGGATGTTACTGCCCTGCACAGGGACTGAGCTAGGGGCTTAAAGTCCTTCAAGGAGCTTATTTCATTGGGATTGGGGGATGAACACTAAAAGCAAAAAATAGCTCTGACACCTGGTAGGTTAAGTGTCACAGCCACTCTAGGAGGCTCTGTGATAACCTGAGAAGGAGGACAGTACCTGTCCCAAATGTCCCTTCAGCGATCTGGCAGCAATCATACATAAGGAGCCCTCTCTGTGTCCTCACCATAAGAGGACTGCTCACCGTGGAGCAGCTGCTGCTGCTTGTGGCACTGGGGGTGGTGCTGCCTGTGGCGGCTGCCTGGGGCACGGTGAAGGCAGGCAGGCTCCCAGCCTCGCTCTGGGTGCTCCTCAGTTCTGTGGCCCATGGCTGGCTTGGGGGCAAGATGGCCTTGCCATAGGTTGAGGACTCCTCAAAGTTCTGATTCCCTGTGGAGACAAGGGCCTGGGAGGTGAACACCCACAACCATCAGGCTGACCCCAAGGCAGAGGAAGCCCAGACACAGCAGAGAAGGCCTTAAGAGGGTCTGGAAGGCATCCCTGGGGCTAGGCCCGCTGCTCCCTGGGGTTAGCTGGGACACATAGGCCTTTGACTCAGGCTCTGAGTCAATGTAGAGACTCTTTAAAGGGAACAGTCTCCTGGAACATTGAATTTTCACAGACTAAATATGTTAGGAGCCACTCTTCCGTGAGGAGCAACCCTCACGTAACTGCTGGAGAGCTGGAGAACACATCTAAAGGGGCTGACGCAGTCCAGGGAGAGGTCTACTCTTCCGGCAGCCACAGCAAGGCCAGGAGAGGGTGGCAGTGGGTGGCTAACTGGGGAGGATGGGGCTTCAAGGGTGTTTCCAGGATGGGCACAGCCAAGGGCTAAAAACCCTTCCGGGGTCCCCAGTAACTTACATCTCTATGGACAGGCAGACACTTTAAAGAAGTCATGGGTTTGAGGGCTTAATCCCAGGCGTCAATATGTTCTCTGTGTTTTTGGAATTATCTGTCCCAACATGATTCCAACTTAGCCCTCTGCCTAAACAAGCATCTGTCCTTCCAGACCCTGGTTGGAATCTGCCCCATCTCTGTGACAATGTCCAAGTTGCCTCAGAGCACCTCCCTCACCCCTCCCCTCACTCTCATCTCAGACTCTCAGCACCCGTGGTGGAGAATCGACTCCTCGGGGGGTTGTCCTCTCTTAACCCCTCCTCCTGCAGTGCTGTGTGAGGTCGGACATGGGATGGTCTTAACAGGGGCAGGAGCAGCTGCTGTTCTTTTATGCCGAGCAGAGCCTGGTTTCTAACAGGTGATTAACAAGACTTGGGGAAAGGGCTGGGGTAGCTCTGGTTAAGACAAAGCTGTAGCCAGGGAGGCCTTTTATGGTTAGAACTCTTCCCAGCCCCAACAGGGTTCCAGGGGCCTGGCTTAGCTAAGAAGCACCCACCAAAATCCAGAGAGATGATGGCGTCTCCTGGCGTGGGGGCCAGCTGGGCCAGCTCCTCGGGCTCCTCCTTTAGCTTGGTGAACAGGAAGTTACTCTTCTCAGACACAGCTCCCTTGCCACTGCTGTCAAAGATGCTGTTCATGGCTATCAGGTGGGGCTTGAACAGGGATTCCGTCTGGTCCATGGAGAATACCACGTCATTCTTCTCAATCTCACTAACGGGAGAAGAGGGCCATTCAGACCTTCCACATTTTCTAGAAAAATTTCGTTCCCCTAGATGCATGAAAACCCTGACAGCTAAGCTCTCAGGCAAAAAATTGGTAGGACCCCCAGGCATTGGCATCTTATAAAGAACCACACAATAGAAGTGTGTGAGCTGTGGGGGTAGTGACAACAGGGTTATCCTCTGAATGTATATCTGTTTCTGATGCTGTTTTATTAAAATATTATTGCACTTGAGTGGGGTGGTACATATGAGGCCAGAATGCTTTTGTTTTTGTTTCTAGAAATAACTAGAAATGACTTCCTCTAGCTCTCTTTCCAGGTACTGTAGAGTGAAGGCGTAACACCTTTTTTCCCTCTAAAGCATGAATAATTCTCTTTCCTTTTTTCCCATTCAGAAAGTAATGACTACTGTGTGCTATCTGCCTCCCCATCTGGGTCAGATACATGCCATAAATGACAGATGACAGGGAAAGGGCAGGAAAAAAAATCCCAACCCAGTATCCCACTGTTCCCAAGACACACACAGGAAGCCTTCTCAGTTACAAGGGTTAGCCCTGCAAAAGCTCCCTGATGTGATGCCCAGGGTGCTGAGAGGCTTGGCATCTCCTAGGCCTGTCATCCTCAGTCTGGGAAGCCCGGGCACCCCCACATACCCTGCACCAAGGCCCGCCAGCCCTCACAGGCTCACCTCAGGACATAGTTGACACACATGATGCACTGGGGCTGCAGGTTGCGAGGGTTGTAGATGACCGTCCCTTGGGTCTCCAGCCACACGTAGCCCCCATGCTTTGCGAGCATCCGGTACTGGCCACTTACCACCTGACCCTTAGTGCACACTAGGGGAGGAGAAACACAGCTGAGCTTAGGGAGGTGGGACAGGGGTGTGCCCTACGGGCTCAGGAGATCCCATGGGAGGGCAGTCTAATCTGCAGGGGAACAAATAGAACAGGGCACCAGGGCAGTGAGGACCAGGGAGAGTGACCTGGAAGGGAGCTTCGGGATCATTTCAGCCAACTCTTCATTTTAAATATAGGAAAAGGTGAAGAGAGGTGAAATGACTTGCCACAAGGCTGTCTACTAAGGGAGGGACCACTCACTATGCAGTGGCCCATCACCAATGCCTGGACAAGTCAGGCTCACAGACCAGCTCAGCAATAAGCAGAACCAAGGCCAGAACCTGCCTTACTTTCTTCACGGGCTTCAATGGGAAGAAGCCCCTCCACACTGGGTAAGGGGGGTATCCCCTGTCAAACACTCCGGTGGGGGGACTTCTAAGCAGCCTGGAGAAAGCCTGATCTCAGGGCAGTTTTTTTGACGGCTGACCTACCACCAATACCTTGCTTATGAATACAAGCATTTAAAAAACTGATATCCTTGATTTTTCCTGGTCATAGGCCTGCCACCTTTTGGGCCATTGAAGGTTTGTGATTCACAGCAAAGGCAGATGCAAACCACCCCACCCTTTCTCGGCTGGGGTTGAGAAAAGGCGGAGACCCAGCAGCCCACACACAGTCTCTTCATGAGCTGGAATCAATCTCTTACACTCCTGCTTCTCCCAACTGCCCAGCTAGGCTTCCTGCTTATGAGGTTTTCCACTTCTAGATTGTTCTACTAAATGTTCACTCAAAAAGTCCTTTTATTATCTACACTGGGGAGGGGTTTCACATCACACAGACTGTCCTCCTTCCCTAGTCCAGAATGCTCCATCTACTCCCATTCAAAAGGAATCAATACATCTCTTTACATTTCAGTCTACTAATGTTAGAATTTTTGGTAGTTTTCTGAACTGCCCATTCCTTAGGAATTTTCAGAATTCTAGCCCAGAAGCTCCCAAATCACAGAGAATTAGGAAAGGGCATGGGGGAAGGATCAGGAATCTTGGGGATCTTGGGAAAGGAACAATCCTTCTTGGTTTTGGCTTCCTCCTCTGCAAAACAGGATATTGATAATAATAGTAATGTTAATAATTGTTATCGTTAGCTACCCAGTATACCACTGCTGTTTGTACTAAGGATCGAATGTACCTGAATGGCTTATCAGGTACATTCAGGTACAACACATAAGTGTTGACCAACTGTCACTAACACATTTTATATAGGAAAAGCCACCTCTTTTCCCAGAACTACTAATACGTATTGTGCCCATGCCCTGTCATGACAGTTTGTTACATATTTGTCGATAGTATCATGAGGGGTCACTTGAGATGATATCTAGGTTCTCTGTAAAACACAGAGTCTCCCAGTTCTCCTGGTAGGCTTACAGGCCACCTCCCCACTCATCAGCCCTGTACAGCTGAGGAACATGGCTCGCTTCATACTTGTGCAGTTTTGTAATCCTTTACACTTACGTTTTGCTTTCCTCTTCAAAAATTTAACAGGCACCTGCAAGGTGCAATAATTCCTGTAACTTACATTTGTATAGTGCTTTGCAGTGTTCAAAACTATCTGATAAGATGAATTCGTTTCTGCAAAGCACTTAGAACAGTGCCTGGCATATAGGGCACTTGCTAAGGATTAGGTCAACATCACTGCCTTTCATAAGCAACACCATGGGGTGCCTATTACTATTCCCACTTTACAGCTGAAGAAACTGAGGCTTAAAACTACTGAGTGATTTGCTGAAAGGCCACTTCAGTGGAAACAGTAGACAGAATTATAGTTCAAATTAAAGATTCCTAGTGTAAGCTTTTTCTGTTTGCTCTTAATAAATGTTATTGGGGTCAAATTTACCTTCAATGAAACACACACCCATTTGAAGTATACAGTTCAACGAGTTTTGACAAAGGTACAGTAGTGGCATAGAACTTTTCCATCACTGCCCCCACCACCCTATTTTTTATGCCTCTAGGCAGTATCAGGCAGCCACTCTTCTGCTTTTTGCCACTATGTATTGGAATTGACTTTTCTAGATTTCCATGCAAATGGAATTGTATAGGAGTATCTATTCTTGTGTCTGGCTTCTTTACACTCAGCATGTTTTGAGATTCATACTGGTGTTGCTGGCATTTGTGGTTCTTTTCTTTTCATCAATGAGTAGTCTTCCATTGCATGGATATACCATAATTTGTTTATCCATCTGCCTGTTGACAGATGTTTGAGTTGTTTTCACTTTTTGGTTATTATGGATAAAGTTGCTATAAACATTTGTGTATAGATCTTTGTACAGACATATTTTCATTTTTTTTGTGGGTGCAGTTGCTGGGTTACATGTAAGAAGCTGCCAAATTATTTCCAAAGTGGTTGTATAATCCTGTGCCACAGGGAGGATAAATATTTTCTTTTAACATGAGGAAACTAAGGTCAGAGGATTATGATTTGCTTCACCTCATACAAGACAATAGTGACAGAGTCTGAGCTACACAGCAGGTCTTGTGGCTTCTAGTACAATGGTCTATTACCTTGGTCCACAAATCACTGGGAAGACCAAATTTTCTGTTGCCACTGTCCTAAACCATCATGGACTCAACAAAGGAAATAAGTTTTATCCTCTCTGCTCACCCTTTATCTGTGCCACTGAGGCTCCTCTGCTGCAGGAAAACAATTCTTGCGCAATTTCAAGTGCCTGTATTTAACTTATTTAGACGGTCCTTAATGCAAACCACATTCAGCGTTCTTATTCCTTTTGATCAAGTAGTACAGCAAGCAAAGGTTTTAACTGCGTTTCTAACAATTGCAGGCAAGGGCCTGCTCTGTCAACAGAATATAATTAATGCCAGCTTTCTAATCATCTGCTCATTAATGCCAGCCTTGGTGAAGGGCCTGCTACTTAATAGATAGGAAAATAAGATTAAAGGCCATAAAAAGCCTAAGAGCACATAATATCCTCATATAACAAAGAGAAAATGACCCCTAACCTCACCCTCAGAGTAACAATGTATAAATTATTAATCCATTTGGAAATTTTGGCTTTCAATGATCTAAATCTGGTTGAGCTTCAACAGGCATTTCAATGGTAAATGTTTACAGGCTAAGACATACACGTGTGTAAATCTGGGACCCTGTCATGTGAATCTGGACCCATCTCAAATCTGAGCCTCTGGTTATTCTATGGCATGTGTGTGAGTCTGTAGTGCAAGTTTATTTCCAAAAACTCAAGGACAAATGAGAGATAGGGGTCGGGGTGAGGGGCAGGCTCCTGTCATAACTGTCATTAACCCAATTTCCAACCCATGCAGATTTCCCTTTGCTAACGGTGGACTTGCTCCTTTGCTAGCTACGGGTTTCTGAGCTCAGGGCAGCTTTACTTGGCTCCATCAGAGGGAGAGAGAGCCTGTGATTTCTATTTGCGCTGTGAATTATCTTTCAGTGTGCCTAATGTCTAAATACATGGATTCAGTAAAAAGCACCTTATTTTCCCAAGAGTCAGCAGAAAACATGAACCATTTTTATCCCAGCCCTTTTTATGGATTGAAGATGTTCTAAGAAGAGGGAAAATCCTTTTTATATGCCTAGTGAGAAGTCACAATTTTTCTTTCCTTTGACAGTAGCTGCTTCTGCTTTCCCATCCCAGAAGATAAAAGACAATACTGTCCTCCAAGAATTCCCAGAAACTTCTTACATTCGTCCCTTGCTTCGGCTTCACCCTTAGCTTGGAAGGAAGGCTAGACTTTTCCCCAGTTTTACATGTAAAGTTAGGAAGGTCCAGAAAGCCAGGCCCTGGGGAATAAGTGGATCTGCTGGGCCAGAGCCTGGGCCCCTGAGTCCCAGTGCCTGGGTGATTGTCACCTGCCTTTGAAAACAGGAACCCCTCAGGGATCAGGAAGCATGAAGGAATCCCAAAGAAAAGGCTGAAACCAGATGTTACAATTTCAAAGCTGGGGCAGGCTAAGGTGAGGTCACATTCACAGGCATACAAGAGTACCTCTAACCCTACCGCATCTCTGGGTCCCTGAATAGGGCTGAATCTAGGTTGCTTTGTGTTTGTTTTTTGTCAGAGAGCACAGTGAGAAACGTTTCTAAGATATAATGGGCCCTGTTGTACTGTCAAATCAAACCCAAAAGCCATGAGGAAGAAATAGAGGAACCAATTAGAAAGAAAAGATCTCACTCCTTAAGAGTGTGTTAAGCACCTTCACAGACAGCCCATGCGTTGTGGCTCTGTTGGCTGCTCTGAACTTGGCTGTCCTAGCTTTAGGGTAGATGGATGGATTTACGAACCATGGACAAACAGCTGCACTTTCATTTTCTCCATTGCCGGCAGGGCCACTGGGAATTTTCTTAGACTTACTTTACCCATTTTTAATCCTTCCATAATCCTCGAGGTACCACTGTCTGCACCACTGTGGGCACTTGTTTTGAAGCATTCTTTTCCAAATATAGTTTTGCCCATGCGTTTATTATCCATGTAGTGCCTGTTCTGTACCAGATGCTATGGCAGGTACTCAGGTTAAAGATATGAGCCACTTGTTCCCAAGGAGCCTATAGTGCTCTTTAAGGGCAGGGATCAATTCTCCTAATTTATATTGCTCCCAGTGGGCCATGTACAGGGTTATAGGCCCAGAGTCCTTGCATGTTAATGAGTTTCATGGATTCAAGGGAATGGTCCTGGATTACCTGCCAGTAAGAAGCCTGAATTGGTGAACATGGCCAAGTAAACACCCTAGAACTGCTCTGTCCAATGTGGTAGCCACAAGCCAAGTGTGAATATTTACATTTAAATTAAGACTAAATTGTATAAAATTCAGTTCCTTGGTTTCTCTAGCCATATTGCAAGAACACTTCCACTGCAGAAATGTTTTATAGGGCAGCCCTCTTCTGGAATCCTTGCATAACTCCAGCTTCCTTCAAACTGCAAAGCAGAGTTTCCATACGCCATCCCTGGGTTCCCTGGGCAGCCTTTTCTAAAGCTTCCTTGATCCAGCAAGCAAGCTCTCTGAGGTGGCCTACCTCAACACATGTATTAAGTTGGACCATAATACTTTCCCCTGTGTTCAGCCTGAGCCTCCCCAATCCTTCAAGATCCAACCCCCTTCCTTTCCTCAGCTCCCCCTGCCCTCCTCTTCTGTGAACGTATGTACTTGAATCTGTAGCATGCACCCAAGTAGGTGATATGTTGAATCATGTTACTGTCTGCAGTGCTGTTCCACAGGGTGTGCAAACCACTGACTGCATACAGGTGGAGGTGGTGTGGGGGACTGATATTCAGCCCACCTCCACTCTCTCAGCTAGCTGTGTACCTTGGTACAGGTGTGTCTCCCTGGAGGAGGTATCCTTTTCTGATTTGCACAAAGGAGTCTATAGGCTGGTGGCAGCCTTGGTTTCCTAACCATGTTGAGGGCATAAGTCTTGTCTGCCACACAAGACAGCAGCTCTGTGCAGGAAGTGACCTGGTCTTCTGTCTCACCCATCACACCCCACAAGGCCAGATACCACAAGGAAGCCACAGCGGGCACTCCTGGAACTCACAGTTCTGGTGACTCTTGGTCATGTTCTCGGAGTCTAGCGCATGGTAGAATTCATAGGCTGAGCGGCCGAGCAGTTCCTCAGGGTGGTAACCAATCAGTTCTGTGATTCTGAGTTTTTAAAAAGGTAGCATGTAAAGAAGAAAGATTACTTACTTATTAATAATTATAAACCATAATTATTAACCATATTAACTTAGCACAGCATATGGGCAGGGGCTCAAGGAGCTAACCCCAGAAGGCAAATCACACACACACATGTGCGCACACACACACATGTGCAGATGAACACAATCCAGACTTTCTCATCACACCATGTATCCAAGCAAAACAACACTGTGCTCAATCTGCAATCACAGGTTTATCCAAACCCCTGTTGTTCCTGCCTTTCCTGAAGCCATGCTTGGGAGGAGAGAAAAGCACCAATTCTGAGGACTCCCTTTCCCCACTACCCCTGGTACACACATATGCCTGTTCTCCAAGAACCATTGGAAGGGGCTCACCCCCAAGTTTTTGCAGACGAGGGAGTAGAGATCCAGGACGGGCAGATGATCTGCCTGATGCCTACACAGGTGTCCAGAGACACAGCAAGAATGAAAAGTGGGGCCTCCAGTTGCTATGTCAAGCTCATTCTAGTAGAAAGCAGTATAAATGAAACATGAAAATTATGTGGCCCCAGATAGAGCCACCTTTGTCTCTGTGTCAACCAGCATGTGAGAAGGAGTCCAGGCAGGCAGAGCCCGCCTGTGCTTAAACCTTCACTCTTCTAGATGCTTCTCTGAGGCAGGCCCTGCCTATTACCTCAGGTACCCTCAGATACCAGGTTTGCCTTCCATGGCTTTTTCTACTTGTCCCTCACATTTCAAGGAAAGGAGGAAGACAAGGAGGTGCTGAGAGGAAGAAATATTAAATCATAGTCATAGAAATGTGCCTTATTATGCTCTAATAGGCAGCTCTCAAATGACAGCACTTGGCTGTCATTTCAGTGTCCTTTTTTTCATTCTGTAAGGTCTCTGGTTTTGATGGGAAGTGGGTAGAGAAAGGGCAAATATGGAGGAATCACTTAACACTCTTAGGACCCTTTGCTCTGTGCTGGAATCACAAAAACAAAGCCCTGTCCAAGAAACACCAGGTTGGCTGCTTGATCCAATATCACATACAATTAGGCTATATAATACCTCCATATTATCTCTCAAAATCTTGGTTCTCTCACTGACTTTTAATAATGGCCTCACTGTCTTGTTTACTTGGCCTATCGCAAGTTAGAAGTGATGCCTCAGTCTCATTATTACAACTCTACTTCAGAAGGCATGACTCCTGGACAGTCCTGTCATTTACACTTGTAGGGGATCAGTAACACTGAGAGGAAAGCAGAAGCAGTGGCTCCTTATTTCCTGTCTCTGCTCTAAACCCATCCCCCAACAGGTCAACTTGCATATGTCTGTCAGACCAAATTGCCCTAAAATACTACTCGCATCCTGCCACACCCCTATTTAAGCATCTATAGCTTTCCCTTTTGCCAACCGTACTAAGAGTAAATGCTGCCTAACTTTCCAAGTCCCCCCCAGAACCTACTCTCCACCTTTTGAGCAATTTGATTTTCAACTCATCTGTAAAATGTTATGCACCCTCTGTCATGGAAGACCCCTCTCCCCTCACTTCCCCATGCCTGGAAAACTCATTCTTGCTGCAGAAGCTTTATGCCTTCTCTTCTCCAAGCCCTAACACCTCCAGGATCATCTCAAAGCCTCATCTTCTCCACATGGCCTTCTACAGTTCCTCTAGCACAATGTCTTTCAGGAGGTCCAAAGGAGTATGCACAATATTACAGGGAATTATACATTTGTCCCCTGACATCCTAGGCTGTCCACCTAGGACACTTTATCTTTTTGCTTCCTCTATAATGGGTGCTTAGTAAAAACATGAACAGCTGACCAGTAGATTGATTTTCTCTTTGAACCTAAGGTACAGACAACTATCTATCTACTTTTAGAATAATATGACTATCTCAACGCACACCAGTGTGCTCTCTCTCTCTCTCTCTCTCTCTCACACACACACACACACACACACACACACAACTTGTAATATTCTATCCATCCTTCCTTTATTCTGTAAGGCATCTGGCTTTGAAGTGGGCAGAGAAGAAGCAAATTCTCTGCCTGGGTGAGACTTTGGGGGTTAAAGCCTTTGTTAAACAAGGAGCAGCTCAACAGGGCTGAGAGGCTTAGGTCTCAGCTGATTCAGCCCAGTGGAGATTTCTCCAGTGAGATCCCAGCAGCTCACTAGTGCCAGCCAGCTGGTCTCAGAGCAGAAGGATCTGTCCCCTCACTTGGCCCTGGGCAGGGAGGTCTCTGAACTCATAAGCAATGGGCACATGATATGGCAGCCTGACTCAGTGGGGCTGGCGCCCAAGTGCACCTTGGAGAAGGTGAAGACTGGGGGGAACAAGGAAACAGAACAGTGCTGGTCCTGCAATCAGCTGGCTCTGCTGCTGGGTCAGATGATTTTCAAGCTTAGCCTGGGAACTAGAACTGCATGAGAAAGCCCTGCTGACAATGGGCTGGCCATCTACAGGCTCACTGACTTGCCAGATAAACTGCTTCTGTTCCTGGGCAGGTCTAGAATTTTCTAGAGATCCTCCAAAATGAGTCTGCTGGCATTCTAGGAAAGATGCCATTCTACTCTCTGAAGGAATTAAATTTCCTTTTGAGATTAGAATCTTTAAATTAAAATGTTCAAAGTAGATGTTTATTATAATCAGCCTCATAATAAAATGTTTATCTAATTAATGTATCATCCATTCAAAGGCACACAATGGGCATGTTTTGGAAGTGGACAAACAAACCTAGATTTCAGAACTGCCAGATATCTTCCCAGTAGCAGCTTTCATTTATCTTGTCACCTAAAATAAATATTTAATGTCTCTTTCTTCATTCCTTTAAACAGACTACTATAAAAACTGGGAAATACACCACATCCCAAACACAATTGAAGAACATTTGAGTTGTCAAACTTCACAAAGCCAGGAAACCCCAACTTAAAGCTCATGGTCATTCGCCCCCATGTGCAGGCACGTAGACGCCAGTGGGGAGGTTAATGAACCAAGCTTGTTTATAAGGTCGCTCCTACAGCACACAAGGCCCTTCCCCGCTCATTTCCCCCAGTCTCCAGACAAGCCTTTTGAGCTGGGCTGTGATAACACAGGTTCATCTTCTCTCTTCATCAGGGGCCAGGAAACTAGTTTTTCTTTCTTTCTTTCTAATTAAGGACCCCTGACTCAATGGGAAAAAGAAAATCAGTTTGAGGTCACCCATAAATGTAAAAGTCAACTCAGTAGGGCTGTTCTAAGATAAGAGAGAAATATACCAGGACTTAATTTGCCAGATTTCAAACCTAAGAACAGAGGATACTTTTTAAAATGAAGTGGAAAAAGCAGTGGACCAAGGATCCAGTGAGGAGAGAGATGCAGATAGATAGGCAGCCACAAGGAGGCAGAGGAAGGGCGAAAGGAAACAGAAAATACGGCTTTAAAACGGGTTGTTCAATTCTGAAGTTGGTGTCACCCCTGGTAAATATGCGGGTCAGCTCTCTGAACTCTGGACTTCAGAGCGAGATGTGCCTTCAAAATGTCAAAAGAATGATTCATTGCTCTTTACTCTCAAAACTGTTTATAAGCTCTATTCAAAATACACCACCTATAGCAGAGTGCTCGCAAAAAAAATTATTCTCTTGGCTACAGTGTGAGTGCTGCCACCTCAAGTGGCAGAGAGGAATCCAGCTACAGGCCTAAGAAGGCCGGCTCTTCTTCCCAGCATGTAATTGCCAGCACCTGCCCACGCGCAGCACAGTGCCACGGTCCTTGACTTCAGATGCCACTGTCTGCAGTCACGCAAGATCTGGCTGCAGTTTTTACCCCTGTTCCCTACACGAGTAAAGGATTTGCTAGGTAAATTAATCATGTAAGCAAGATGGTGAGAGAGTATTTCTGTTTAAGAGGATAAAAGTTTTAAGCACTTCGTAACCACCTATTTGTTTTCCAAAGAATGTATTTTCTAATAAATACTTGAAGTCAGCTTGCTCTCCTTCCACTCTCTGCCAGTGGCCTCTCCTCAGCACCCCGTGATTTATCTCATTTTGGTTTCTATATGTGCTTATAAGCTTTGACACTGCATTTACTTACTAAAATCTACACTGTTCACTATCTCAGATTTACTTCTGTGCCTTACTGTTGGTTTTAATGTATTTTCATCTAGATTTTGTTTTAAACCACAATATTTAAGCCTTGTGTTTTCCTCAAATACTACATCATTATATGAAATCTATATAACCAGCTTTGTAATTGATGGGAAATCCATTTCTGTCCTGTCTGTGGAGTGTTACAGGGTACCTGTGGGGGTAAGTGTATATACATAGGAAGGTTGTGTGTGTGTGTGTGTGTGTTTTACAACTTACGGCTCTGTATCATTCTCTTTACTGACATTATCTTTAGGATCCTCAACCTTTCCCTCACTTTTACCATTTTTACTTATTTTCAACTTTTTTGTACAAAAACACTCCACCATAAATTTATCCACAGAATTTGGAATGTAGGGCTCTTGATTTATTAAACTGTAACTCCTGATATTAGCATGTCCTATGTTGCCTGAATCCAATGACAAAACAGGGTTGCCCTCAAATTCTTTACCGGTAAAAATTACATAATGCTGTTTGTTGATGTGAAATTTTACTGTAATTTTGAAACCTTTACCCCTGGTGATATGATCCTATCCACATAATTTGCTTTGATAATTTATTTCTAAGATACAGGAAGACTCCTACAGCTGACAAAATCACAGTAGGATTATAATAATTAGAAAGGCTTTTCCTCTAACTCCTTGATGGCTTGGCTTCCTTCACAGTTGTCTCTTTTGCCACTAGATGGCACCTCCACATGAATTTAAGAACTACCCTATTTTAAAGTTAAACTACTTGGGAACAACTTTTGTCTTCCTTTTGGGTAAATGGAATGTTGTATTTTGTATCATTCACTGTGATTTCATTATATGGCTTATGTCTCAAACTCTCAAATCCTGGAGATCAGGAATCATCTCTTTTACTTTGATGTAATGGTCTCTGGCACACAGTTACATAGATGCTCAAAAAATGATAATTCATTAATTCATTGTTCAGTATTTCAGGAAACAGAGTATAATGCCTATGTCTGAGTCATAAATGAAGAAGAGATCATTACTTCCATTAATAATCAGGGTGTTTTTCTTTCACCCTGCTACTCAACTTGCTCCCCTTGTCTAGAGCATTTGACCATAGGTACATAAATGTTATTGACATATGAATTGTTACGAAATTTACTTTTAAAAGTATTTACTACTTTAAAATAATGCAGGACTTAATATGGTACTATGATCCCTTATTAACAGGAGGACAAATGCATTTTGAGCCATCTGTATTCCTTTATTCAATTTCAGATGTTTCAGAATAGGTTGTTTCAGATTCAGCTGATTTGGCCTGAGAGTTCAATGTAAAATTAGAGTTGTCTTTTCTCTCTTCTATTTTATTTCTCTCCCTTCTTTCCTCTCTGTTCTCCTTTATCTTTTTCTCCATGACCATTTTTCTTTTTTTGTTTGATTGTGTCTGTGGTCTCAGTATATCTAAGAAAAGTACCAAGCTGCTTCAAAAATGATTTTGTGGATTCTAACTGCCATACATTTTCTTCAGATTCTAACTTTTCTGATAGAAAAACAATCCTCTTTGTCGGAATCACAGCCCCTCGCATGTCTCAGATGTCATTAAACCTAGTGAATTTCCTGATTAAAATGGAGAACCCCTCACCCCATTAGGTATCGCAGACAGGCATTGGTTTTTGAAGCATTTGTCTCTGAAGGGTAATTGAGGTGGAGAGGTATGTGTGCAAGTGCATATGCTTCTCCCCATCCCATCACAAAGAGTGAACACAAAACAAGCTACCAAAACCAAAAAAGTCCCAGGCCTCATCAAAGCAATTGAGGTATAACACTTAGGGATTAAAGACTTAAAATAGTCACTTCATCAACTGTCTAAGCCATGTCTGTGCCCTTGTTAACTAATCTGCTAATCGGTTAAACACAACTTCTGTGTGGCACAGCATTCTATGTCTTTAAATGCTTCTGCATTCAGCTCTCCAGCGCCACTGAATTCACACTTGGGGCCAAGTAACTGGGTTTCTCGAAAGGCAAGATTTTGCTGAAAATGCAGTGTGTCCTGCAAAACTTATAAGCAATATTACCCTCCACATTATGAGTCACAAAGCCCTGAATCACGAGGCTCGATACTTCCTTTAAGCCAGAAGCTACTCTGCCTACCAGCCCTGAGCCAAACTAAGAAGTCAGCACAGCGTCTTTCCCCTTTCTATGTACATTTCCTCTCCAGCCACATTTAGACATCCAATTCCTTGTGTTGTCCCCCTCTTCTTTTGTCCAAAGGTTAGTGCCTTCAGAAAATTACCTGAAACTCATTTAAACCAAGATAGTGAATAAAGAAAAATGCAGAATTACCCTTTCCAGAGGATTTTTTCTCACTGTAACAAGGATCAAAATCTTAAGCTTAAAAAATTCTCTTTTCTATTATCTAGGGATGCCAAGTTATTTTCTAGGACAGTAGTGTAGGGTTTTACCAGTGCTTACAGAGTCATATTACACATGCGCTTCACTCACCAGGGGCTATATGGCTAGATCAGCTTAAGCCAGTGACATGGGGCTATGCATTGGGATTGTCCATGTTATCTCACAAGACTACTGAGAGGACTACATGAAGCTGTGTCTTCTGCACAGAACGTTCACTTGACTACAAAGACTGCATCTGATAAATAACCTTACCTGTAACATGGATTCCCGCAGTGCCTGCCTTTGAAAGGGAAATTTTCCTCATGAACCATCATCTTTATCATCCTCATCACCACCACTACCACCACCATTACTAACAAATGTAATAAATGGTGACTGTGTTGACATTCCAGGACAAAAGGCTTCATACATGACATTTTCTCCCTATGAGGTTGGAGCATTTCTTTCTACTTATATAACCACCTACTACCTCCAAAAGCTTTGAATCCTGACCCTGCTGTGGTCAGAACTGAAGGACAGGAGAGACTTAAGGAAATTTTTACAAAAGTTCTGAAATTGTGCCACAAGTGATGGGCAACTCTAAGAAAGGGACACCAACCAACACCAGGCCAGTCTGGAATCAGAGGAGAGAAACCCCATCCCAGAGAGGGGAGGGTCCCTCCCATGAAGAAACCAGATGCCTTTGGGATGTCCAGCTGATGAGAGAAAGGTGGGTAGGCCTAAGGGAGGCTGAGCAGGAGCTTTTTTTCCAGAGGTTCCATGGTTTCCTGCTGGCTGAAGAAGACAAGGCAGATTCTTGCTGATCTGGGGGGTTCCTCTTCCTGCCCCCCAGCCACTAACTGCCTTCAGAAGTGATTTCAACTCCTTGAGTTTAGTGGAAGATTTTGCTTTGGAGGAGGCCAAGGACAGGAAGTAAGATATAAGCAATAATGAAACCTCACACATGTTGTGGTGGCTGGACTTTTCAAAGTCCTTGTGCAGCCATTATCTCATTTTACAAGGACCCCATGAAACAGGTTGAGAAAGTGTTATCTCTGTTTTGGAGAAGGGGAAACTGAGATCTCAGGGTTTCCTGAGGAGAAACCCTAGAAGATGAGAGAAGAGTGGCAAAGAGTGGGGTAGCAAAGAGCTGCCACAGCAACTGTCACCGTGGGACAAATGGCGGCTCTAGATACTGCAGAAAGCTGAGGTCAGGCGGGGAGATCTCTGCCAGGAAGGGCACATCCGGGGTGTGCTGCTCAGCAAGCCGCAGTGGCGCTTACTCAAGCCAGGCCTACCCTGGGCCCAGCCTTCTGCATTTCCTTCCCTCCCTGGGGCCAGCCATTGCTCAGGGCATCTGTTCTCTCCATCTTCCTCCTCCTGCCTCCCATCATCAGGCTCCACAGTCCCACAGGCAGGGCTGGTGGGAGAGTTGGGAGCTGTGGGATCTCTAAATACTCCCTCCTATGACAACCCCAGCTTCTTCCCCACCTGCTTCAATCCTCTAAATGAGCTAAGAACCAGAGATGGCATGACTTGCATAAGCAGTCTTAGACACTCTTTCAACAACTCTAATAAAGGTGATAGTAAGAGCTAACACTGAACATTTATTACTAGATTTGAACCTAGGCCATCTAGTCCTGAAGCCCATGCTCTTACTCACTACTATGTCTCCTAAGAGAATTTCCAGCTGGGTCTGGCACTGTGGGTTATTAGCATCTGCCTTAGCTGCCTTCATCTTAGCCTTCAAAATGGTTGGACAATGGCCGGAATGGAGTTGCATGCAGAAAGGAACAAGGTGGAGGGAAAGGCTCAGTCAGTAATGGAAGAGGGTCAGTCTCCAGGGCAGAAGCTGATGCTCCCAGCTGGCCTCTGAAGCAGGAGTACAGATGGAAGTCTCCAGACTCTTCTCTTTCTCCTGGGGCAGAAGACTGCCTTGAGAATTTCCTCAGGAGCATGATACATGTATGGAGAAATATGTTCACACCACAACGATGAGAAGAGTTGTACATGAGGAAAGCTCTGCAGATGGACCCTGAGGCTCTGTCAACTGGAGACCACTTAATATAGTACCAGGAACCTCAGAGGGCACTGATGCAAACAGTAACAAAAGTCCACGAACATGTGCCCAGCAACATCACATCTATGTCCAGTTCCACACCTTTAATACAGGCACAGCCCCACACACGCACAGGTCAGACCCATCTCTGCCCACATCATACACACTCATGGTCCCCTACCTGTCATCACAGTAGGTGAACTTCATGTCCATGCTGTGGCGGCTCAGGAAGGTCTTGCTGTCCAGGGGGATGTCCATGTGGGATGGGTGCTGAATCGGCTCACACATGATGATGAGGCAGGACAGCAGGGGCTCTTTGTAGCCACACAGACTGCTGTGAGGAGGGCAGTTGTTGTAGACTTTCACCTGGCCCGTGCAGTGCAAGACCTGAGACAGGCACGGAAGAGTCAGACCTGGGGCCAAGAGTGCTGGGGGTGGGGGCAGGGCTGTAGGCATCCCCTGCACCGCCATCGCCCTACACCTGGGACTCCAACCCCAGTCTGATGTTGCCCTACCTTCCAGGTGGCTGACTTGAGGTTGACAGTTCGGCCTCTGTTGGTGACTGTGCACTTCATCCTCATGAAGAAGTCCCGCTCTGTGGACATGTCTTTGCTTTTTTTCCCAAAACCAGATCCTGGATGTGGAAGGATGGGAAGAACCAAATGAAGTTAGTTTTATATGAATATTCATGAGAGGGGCCCAGGGCAGTTTTTCTCACCAGCCTATTGTTTGTATTTTCCAACGATCTGTTCTCTTAGCCCCTGTAGTCTGCCATGAACATGGAGCTCCATCATGGCCTGGGAACTAATGGTTCCTGCTCTCCAGCTTGTCTCCTCCACTTGGGGGCATTAACTCCCCACAAGGCAGGAACTATTCCATCATTTGATTTCGCATTGCATCTGGAACATGGTCACTGGTCCCTTCAGGGCAGCAGCACAACGAGTGCCCGTCAGCCACTAGCCCGGCAACCCTTTCCTGGGGCAGGCCCAGGTCCTCTTGCAGAAACTCCTAGGGACAGTCTGGGTGAGGCCACAGTTACTCCAAGGGTATAAGCCTCACAGGTTAGAAATGTCTCCCAGACACTCCCGTCTTTCCTTTATAACCTGTCTCTCAGGAGGAATTTAACCCCTCCTGTACCCCATTCAAAAACTGCAGTAGAGTGTTCAGGATACCATGCCATTAGCTTTCTCCCTGAAGTGACATCTATATTAAGGCTCTAGAGAGACCTCTGGTATGAATCTCTTTACAGTGGATTTGGTGAGCAAGTCCACTTTAACGATTAACTCAACCTGGATCATATCCTCTCTCAGCAAGAATTAAATAAATCACCAAGAACAGCAATATAGCTTCCTTCCTCAGAACATTTCCCACTTTTTGTAAAACAAAGTAATGAATAGAATGCCAACTGAGTCCCACTTGTCTTTGTCTAAATACTACACCACCATCTCTGGTACCTACTTTCAAAGATATAATCCTGCCCCCTGCCCAGCACCATAGAGCCTTGTTTAAAAGTCATACTCCTTTGTCCAGGAGTGTGACTAAACTTCCAGAGGACCTTGATTTGATTGACATGTTCCTGCAGAGTTATGTGTCAGAGGAACTGTGGCACCCTTGGACAAAACTTTAACATCCTTAGGGGAGCCCACTCAGTAACAGACTGAAAAGTGAATTTTTTTTAAAGAGAACGATCCTTCATCATGATTATAAAGCTATTTCTCTCATACTTAATTGATTCCTACCATTTAAATTTTCAGAGGTGGGGTTAGCATACAATGAGATATACCTGTATCTTGGGATCTGCCCCCACAACCAGGACCAGACCAAGTGTTGGGTATGAGGGAGTTGGAGGGATTCATTTGTGGCTGTTGCTTGGGTTTTACTGAGGCCTCTTAACTTGCTAATCTCTGGATTCTCCCCATGCTGACATTTGATCATTCTTTCTAAACACTACTCCATGAAGATCACTCCACCCCTGCTCAAAAACCTTCAATAGCTCCCTATTGTCTATGGAATAAAATTCAAGACCTTCCGCCCGGCCTTCAAAACCTTCCACAATCTGCCTTATGGCTTTCTTGTCCTCTAGGAACTCACACTAACCCTTACGTCTAGATCATGAGTCCACCCACAGGCTGGCACCTTCAGTGAAGACTTGCTGATTCATTGAGTTTGACTTATCCCAAGTCCTCAACATGCAGACCAAGAGATCTAAAGTTCTACTCAGATAATTAGAGGTCACTTGGCTGTGAATCATGGCACTTGAGAGCTGAAAGGTCCTTGCCTTTGCCTAGTCCAATACCATCAATTTGAAAAGAGACTCTGAGGAACAGAGAAGTAGGGTACTTGCTTCTGGTCACAGACTCAAACTCAGACTCTGGTCAGCGGTTGAAATGAGACTAAGAACTCAAAGGCCAAAGGGTTTCTGGAGTAGAGAAGAAATCAGTCTTTGGTTTTCTCAGTCTTTCTCAGGCTTCAAGCACCTACCCATTCAGAACATGAATCTCTTTTTAGAGAGATTGAGAAAGTCTGGTAGCCCTTTCCCCATAGAACCAGACCAGACACTGAGCAGCCCATGGGGTGCCTCTCAGCCAGTGTACCCTCAGAGCCAGGTGGCCTAAGGCCTGCAGATGAGAGTGCAAAGGAGATGGGTGAGGGACTGTGGCAGTGGTAGAAAAGGAGGTGGTTGTAATTCTGTGCTTTGCAGGCCCAAATGTGGATTGCAGACTCAGTGTGTAATAGGGTGAGGTGAGCCAATGAAGTGTCTGCTTTTGCAGTGTGTGTGGTAACAAGAGCCAAACCTTGTAGGCTTAGTCTCACTGCCTCTGTTAGGTTGGACAAGCACAAGTCCCATGGCAGTGACAGGTAAGGATGTTAAAGAAGACATCTAGGCATGCACAGAATCTGCCCAGACCAGTGACAGACCACAGGTTTAGAAGGGACCTTGACAGTCATTGAGCCCTACTCTGCTGCCCAAAGCTTCAGTCCTCTTAACAATGTCTCCATTCATGCTTTTGTTGAATGGCCAGTTATAGGAGAGGAAGCTCCACTGTCACTGCAATGTGCTTGCAGCCTGTGTGGGTCCTCTCATCCACTGGCACCTGCTGGGTATCCCCATGAGTAAGGTCCTGTACACCGGATCTTTTTAAATCTCTTCTCTGTCAAAACCTACCTGACCTATGTCTCCTCAGGGCACCATTTCCTGCACTAGCTCATCTCTGAAAGTGGCTCCAACGAGCCATGCCTTTCGACATGGCCTTGTGTAGTTTCCTCCCACACTGAACCAGGGCCGGCCTGTAGCGTGCTCTAACCAACAAGATGGGGCGGAAGTGATGCTCTGCCAATTTGGGCACAAAGCCTTGGGAAGGCCTGGCAACTTCCACTTTAGTGCTTCTTGGAGCCCGGAGCTGCCACATGAGAGGTCTGGCTACCCTAGAGACACCATATGGAGAGAGTCTCTATGACTCCATGGAGTGAGAAAACAGTCCAGTTGTCCCAGCATCCCAACTAAGCCCATTCTAGCCACCTGCCATAAAGTCCCAGTCGTGTGTGAGCCATCTGATCACCCCAGGCTATTCTGACCCCCAGGTGACTGTAGCCCAGCTGACATCACGTGGAGCACAAGAGCCACCCATTAAACCCACAGGACCCTGGAGATAATCATCAAAGCCCTGTGTTTCAGGTAGTTTGTTACACAGCAGTAGATAACTGCAGGCATTCCTATGAGCACTTTGGCACAGACTAGTTTGTCATTGGTTTGGGTGGTATCATTTGGCAGAGACGCTTGACTCTTGGGTGATGAAATGTCCTAGAAACAGTATCCTAACCCAAAGGAGTCCCCTAGTAGTGGGACACCAGCATCATGCGGGACCAGCAGGAGATATTTCTGAGTACTGGGTCCTCTCAATGCCCCAATCTCATCTCACAGGTTACACGCTTAAACAGAGGGCCAGCTTAGCTAATTTTTTTAAGGACATCCATTTTTCCTGCATCACAAGGGCCATGAGCTGTCTCCCTTATAGACAAAGTGGAGGCAGATTCCCACCCAGTGGGGGCAAGAAGGAAGTAAACACACAATCAAGGATACCGTTTTTGAGACTCAGGTTCTCACGAATCTCCTCATGGTCACAGGGATGAGTGAAGTCGAAGATGCTATGTCCTGTTAGCTCCACCTGTTTCAAAAACAAGGTTAGGCTGCATTATTCCTAACAGTGAAGTAAAAGACTCCAAGAGAAGGCTGAGCCACCTTCCAAATATGGAGGCAGGGAGGAGACTGAATCAGGTTTTCTCATAATCTCAGTCCAGTGTTAGGTCCACAGACAGAAAGATGTAATAGGGACCTACTGATGATGACAGGTCTATTAATTAGTCAGTAGAGAGCTGTCCACCAGGCTGGACATTAGCAAAGCCAAACCCAGGGCTTGCGGATGGCAGTGTGGCCTGAGGTCAGCGAGGGTGGCAGTGGCCTTTGCAGGGAGAGGTCAAGTGGGATTGTGGCTAGCACCTTACACTCATTTCTGTCCCCGAATGGAAACATTTCTCCTTTTGAAAGAGACAGAGGAGGGTGTCACCTGTGTGAGTCCCATGAACTTGCTGATGTTTTCTGACAGAAAGATCATGTCACCATCTTGGGTCACCACAGCAATGAAACCCTCCAAAGCTTTCAGGTACAAGTTGTCCATCTGCTGGTCAGCTTCGGCTTCAGACTCGTTTTCAGAGCAAACTGGAAAGACAGTGGGTGGGACAGCTTGCATGAATGTGGAGTGAAAACAAGTGTGACTGGCACAGGTAGGCATTTGCCAGGGATGGCGCAAAGGCATCAGGTGGACTTTTCTGGAAACACACACTGCCGACCACCTGAAAGTCTGCCCCAGCCTGGCAGTAGGCACTGGATGAGCACCGCTGCACAGAGGACACCCTGATTGGGGCTGTGATGACAGCGTGCTTGTCATGACAACAGTATTTGTGGCACTAGTAACGGCAGCAGTAGTAGCTGTGGATATAATGGTGGTCGTAGTAGTAGAACAAAAATTTTAGCAGCTAATATATATTGCAGTTACTACATGAAAGGCACTGCACTAAGAATCCTATGTGATCTTCACAATGACCTACGAGGGAGACACTATTTAATCTCATTTTACAGATGAAGTATAGAGAGGTTAAGCCATTTGTCCAAAGGTATAAAGATTGTAAAGCTAGCAAGCTTCGACAGCAGAATCCAGAAGCTATTCATAGGCTTTGGAGTTAAACACAGGTTCTGTTCCTAGATCGGCCTCCTATTAGGCTGTGACTCTGGATAAGTAACAACCTCTTTGAATATCACTTTCCTCATTAGCTAAATGGAAATAACAATTTTCATCTCTGAATTGTAAGAATTAGATAAGTACGTAAAGTGCCTAAAACAGCGAATTCAATAACAGTGAATTCTTTCTTCTTTCTGCTCCAAGACACACACTATCCTCAAATTGCTCAGATCCCAGGTGAGGAATATGTAGCACTCAGAGATGCAAAGCTAAGTAAAAGTTCAAGGGTGTGATAGCTGGGCTCCCAAGGAAAAGTATAGATGGGAAGAGCGCTAAGGGTCAGAGGAGGAGGAGATTGCTTTGGGGCGATCACAGACAGCTAACTATTCCAAAGAAGTTTTAAAGAGATTTAGAAACAGAGATTTCACTCTGTAGAATGAAAGAAGGGCCTTCTGAACCAGATGGGATTGGGTGACCAGGGACTGAGGTGAGGCCCATTTGGCTGAAGAGGAGAATCCATTTCCCAGTCTTAAGGATTTGGTGTGGTGAGGCTGGCCCAGTGTCCCAGAGGGGCCTCACATTTCAAGCAAATGTGAGCAGAGGAGTGCATCTCAAAGCATTGCTTTGGGGAGATGAGTCTGGCAATGGCATACAAAATGGTTTGGAGAGAGTGAAACCCAGACGTGCCGAAGAGAGTGAGCAGGCAGCTGCATCCCCGGCAGGCTATACCAGTAGTTGCTGGGAGCAGCCTGGGAAAGCTTCCACCCCTAATCGTCCACACTTTGAGTATCCTGGCCTATCAAGTATACCTCTGCTCTCTGAAAAATAAAGACCCAGCTCTTATCCAGACCAAAAAAAAAAAAAAAACTTCTTGGGCCCCAGGCCTTTGGTTGTTGTACACAGACCACAGGCTTTATTTCAGCCTTCTTCTCCTAGTTCATTATTTAACTCTAAAGACATTTACTTATGAAAATTTGTATTCATTTAGTGCAAATGTCAATCCAAGTATGCCTCACTTGATTTATCAAACAAGGGGATTAGAGAGTAATTTGTCACTTGCAAACATTAATATTCACTTAACAGGAGCCTTTCAAATGGAGACTATTCTAAGGAACTTAAAATGCAACAGTTTATGGGCCACTTTGCAAGGGACATATTGATGCTGTGAAATGTTGTTCAAGGGTCTTTCTGCAAGGACACTGGATTTCTCTTTTATCTTTTTCCTCGAGCCCCTAAACTTAAGCTTTGGGTTACCTGCCATTATTCCTTAAGAACAACAAATCCAAATTACAAGATCCTTCTACCAAGATACTCCAGTGAAGGCACAGGGGACCAGCATTCTTTCAGGACACAGGATCAGAGAACATGCCAGAGTCACAGATGCCTTCTGCAGAGAATCACAGGGGGTTCAGGGATGGGCAAGCCTTCAGAGCCAAGAGTTGACTTATATGGATTAATGGCCCAGTGGCTTTCCCTCTGTTTCGCTAAATGGTGGAACAAAATAAGGGAAATTCTTTTCTCTCCACACTCTGGTTCAGGCAGTTAGCCCGTAGTGGGGAGAACCACAGGCCATGAGAATGGCCTTATACCGCGCACATGCACACCCTTGATCCCTGCTTGCAGTTTCTGCTGATATGCATGTCCTTTGCCAGCTAACCAGCCCCCTAAACTGATGGTGAACCAGTGTCCCAGGTGTGGGCGATGCCACTGCTAATGCTAGCTTTCACAGCTAAAGTCTTCATTTGAACAGGGGCTTTAGGGGAGAAAATGACTTACCTCGGTGCTTTCAAATTTGTGTACACATCAGAATCATCTAGAGGCCAGGCTAAAACAAAAATTTCTGGGACCAGGACTGCTACATAATTTGCATGGCCCAGTGCAAAAAAAAAAAAAAAAAAAAAAAAAAATGCAAGACCTCTCATCGGAAAAATTAAACCAAGCCTGAGACCCTTCTAAATGCTCCAAGACTGCATATGCTGCACACCCAGGAAATTGGCCCTGGACGGGCCCCCACTGGGTTCCTGGTTCAGTAAGTCTTTAGTGGGAACTGAGAATCTGTTTTTCTAAAAAGTTCCCAGGTGATGCTGACCCTGCTACTCATAGGACCACATGCTGAGAGCTACTGCCTCAGCTCAAAGGTCCTAGAGTGACCTTAATTAGTCTATGTTGGCAGGTGGTGACTTATTTTGGAGATGACTGAGGAGAGGTTTTCAGCACCACTTCAATCACACCAGATAGGTGACCACCTTCTATAGATACACAGAGGCCAACCCTGTGGTTTCCAGCCAACTAAGAAGATATTTTCTCTTCAATTTCTTTGATCTCAGTGGTAACACTGACTTCAAAATCTGGAGTAATCCCAAGACAACCCTATTTGGGTTAACTAGTCCCAGAGGAAATAGTCCTGCTTAAAATTTCCTGTTTTTAACAGTTTCAGCATAGCCAAACTGGTTTCCACCCATGCCCAGTGCACTTACTTCCAGGAGGTGGCGAAATTGGCTACAGCAGCATCGGGTCAGCTGGGCTCTGAGAGAGAGAGGGGCAATCTAGGGCCATGAAGGGAAACAGAATGTCTTGGGCCTGAAGTCACAAGGGCTGGAGGACCAGGAAGCTAGCAAGGCTGGCCCCAGGGACCCTGAGACTGGAGGGCTGGGGCAGGGTCTCTTCCCTCTCTGGAACTATGTGCCCTCACAGCACCTGCTTATTCTCCTGGGAGCTTCTGAAGGAACCTGGCCAGGTCACTCCCAGCTTGGAGCTGAGGGTGAAAACTGTGGAGCCAGCAGGCAGACCCTTACCTGGGAGGCTTATGGCACAAATTTGCTGAAGACCCCTCTGCCTTTTCCCTGGTGAACATCGTATCTTCCCTGATGTATCATTAATATCTTACTCAGTGTAATGTACATGGAAAAATATACTCATTCCCTACACCGTTATTAACTTTCTACTGTGTTCGTGTCTGTTTGACACTAGGCACGAGGTAATCTGTCCACAAATGTCACTTGTGTGCCCAGTCTTGTCCTAAGGAGAATCAGGGATACTGAAAGGTGTAAGAGCAATCTCTTCCCTCAAGGAATCGACAGACTGGTGGGGAAGACAGAGATAAACTGCTGTAAGGTGATGCAACAATCGAACATCAACTCTTGGTGAGAACAAAGCGAGGAGCCCAGAGTAGGTGCTCAATAAGCCACCAATTGGGTCCGTTAATCATCCTGAGCTCTAGATTTCAGTTACTTGCTTCCGAGGACCCTTCAGGGTCTGACCCCAAAGTCAAGAGATAGGTCATTAAAACCAGAGGTTCTCTGCTGAGACGGCACATGCCTGTTCCTGGGGAGCACAAGATTCTTTAATGCTAAAAATAGCCCCAGTAAACAGGCTTTGATGACTCCCCACAGCCAGGATATGCACGGGCTGAGGTTTTGGAGCACTTTTTCCGGAGCATCGCTCATTTCCTTAAGGCAGCACCGCCCATGTGGGGTGGGACTTCCTGGGCAGCAGGGGCTGTGCATTGGAAGAAAGCAGGCAGAGTGGCAGAGCAGAGCTTCCTCAGTGGTCTTGTAGACCAGGCTGCCCCATGGTGCTGTTAGTCAGAATGCTGGCTGCAATTTTATTCTACCAAGGTCACTTTGCCTCTTCTTTCCTACTTTGAGAAGTTCCAGGACTGCTCTGACTGTTCTTAAAGCCATTCTGATGGGGTCTTCCTGGTTGAAGATGTGCTTGGCAGTCACCACTTCGTGACTGCCACAGGGGCTTTCCTTCTAAGGCTCTGCCTAAACTGATTTCTCCTCCACCTGACCTAGGACCTGGACCCCCAACCCCTGCCCTCCCAGATGGGCAGACAGCAAGAGCAATGCCAGTCAAGCCATGGGGAAATCATTCTGGGATTGCTTACTGGATCCTTGGCCATACCTGCAAATGCCACCATTAGCAGGCCTGGGCTCCTCTGATGCCTTTGAGAGAAGGCATTGTGTCCTTCCTGATCTTCCTGGGCTCCCTGAGAGTCCTGAAGGGATTCATGCCTTTTTTCTTTGCATATATCTTATCCTTTCTTGCTTCTCCCTATTACCCTTCATAAGATGTAGTACAGGATTGGGTTCAGCCAACACCTGTTGACTGACCACACTTTTTAGTTTAAGTGAAGGGAATGATCTGAACAAAGTATTTCTAGGAGAGATTGTATATTTGCTGTTCTCACCCATTAACATCTTCACATGAATCAGCTTATTGGTTTCTTTCCAAACAGGACAGAAGGCAGCCTTGATTTGGAGAGTGGGTGGGACAAAGGGGTGGAGGTAGGGATGAAAGTCTGGGAAAAGAAGTCTGAAAGTGGGGTGTGTGAGGGTACCAGCACATAGATCTGCCTCCACAGTCCTACTGTTCCCGCATGGAAAGGTCACAGTAAGCCTTTAAAACTTTAAAATCACTTGTCTCGCACTTTAATATATTTCCCTTAGAGATCAGGAAAACGTAATCTCTTGTTACAACTGATGTTTTTGCTAAGCAAATGATGATGAATCCATTATGAAACTGGCCCTTCTCTTTAGAAACCTTGCTTTGTACTGATCTCCAGCTCCATGGAAAATGAATTTGATTTCACCATGTATGAGCCTGGGCAAGCCCAAAATTCAATTTTACAATGAAAAGCAAATTTTGTATTTTCACTGCTGTTTAATGCCCTCAGAATGCAGAGTTGACCCTGATTTGCTCATGGTTTGTGGGGGCTCATCTTGAAAGAGGATTTAAGACAATCAAGTGGCATTTCCACCGATGTTCCTGTAAGAGTGTGTTCTGTCCTCAGCCCAGCGTGGAAGCTAATATCATAAAGCTATTGTTTCAGTTTGCTTCCTGTGATACGAATCTCAGTCGGCAGCCCAGACCCACAGCCTGAATTTCTCAACGTTGAGGTTTCCTCTCCAACATTCCCACACAGAACAGCCTACTGTGAAAATCAAAGGGAAGCGTGTTACTAAGTAAAGAGAACCTTTTCTAAAGAAAAACCTGGTATTTTTTCGCCTTTTGAACTTTGAGGTATGCAACCAGCTATTTCCTATTATAAAGTAAGCCAAAATTGGTACTCACCTTTGTTAGAAATGCTTAAATAATGAATATGTGGGTTGTTTTACCTTGGAAAAGCATGACAACTCTGCATTTTGATAGAAATCACTAGAAGATAGGTTAGAGGATAGTAAGGATTTACATTGGGTTTTCTTTTACATCATTTCTCCAGCAGCCTGCATTTAATATAAATCAAATATATTTGTTTATAATAATTTTTATTTCTAAGCTATAACTTATTGAGAGCTTAATAAGTGGCAGGTTACAGGATAAGGCCTTTTATATCTATCATCTCAATCCTTAAATATCATTGCAGAGTAAGCACCATTATTCCCTTTGTGCAGATGAGGAAACTATAAAGCTCAGAGAAATTTTTACAACATTACAGAGAAAGAAGGCTGCCAAACTAAGATTCCCATGCAGGTCTATCTGCCCACAAATCCTGTACTCTTCTTTATGATGCTACATGTATTGGAAAAGCAAAAAGATCTTGTCTTAAATTTTCTGAAAATAATTCAACAATCAGTCTAGAGAATGTGTAGCAGGAGCCTGGGAGAGAAGTCAGAAAGGCGGGTGCTGAGAAACCATCTCCCCCTTCCTGGGCTGCACTTGTTCGATGAGAACTACTCCTTCAAGGACGCCAGGACCAGATGGCCAAAAGTAGAAACTTTTTATCCTTTTTCTTCATTTCTTTCCTTGGGACAGAGAGGACCAGAGCTGACAGGCTAAGGGCTCTAACTGGTCTAGGGCCGAGCCCAGCAAGAGGGCAAGGCAATTTGTGTCCACAACTTTCAATAGCTCCTGAGATGGTACAGATATGGGATGTCCCACCATGGCCACTCTGATCCTGTCTCTGTGGGTTTGTTTAGCACACAGGGGTTCACATCAGCACACAAGGGCTCGCACACACACACAGGTAGATGTGCTCAGACAGCCCAGCCTAACTCGTGGCCTTCTCCAAACCGACCTTTGAACCACTGAGCCACTCAGCATTTCAGGTGGGCATGCATGGAAAACAAAGCCCTGCACTAGGGGCAAGGACAGGAATAACCCTCTGAATGTGTGAGGACCTCCTCCCCATCACGCTGGCCCCCAGCTGCCTCAGCTGACCTTCGCTCCCCTACCCTCTCCCTTCCCCCACATCCCACATCCCAGCCCTTGTCAACATCTTTGCCTGACCAGGTTTACAGAATGCTCTTGCTGTCCTATGTCTGTTTTCCCAAAATTCAAATGGACTTGAATTCCAGGTGCAGGTTCACCGTGTGCTAAGTGTTTGACTTTGAGCAATATTAACCTGTCTGTGTCTCACTTATCTGTGAAACAAGGAGAAACACTCAACCAGTCCAAATTCAGTCAGAGGTGTTCTACAATTAATATACAGGTTGACTGTCCCTAATCTTGACATCTGAAATGCTCCAGAATCCAACACAACATTCAAAGGAAATTCTCATTGCAGCATTTCAAATTTCAGATTTTCAGGTTAGGGATGCTCAATCGATAAATATAATGCAAATATTACAAAATCTGAAAAAATTTTAAAAAATCATAAGTGCTTCTGGTCCCAAGCATTTTGGATAAGGGATACTCAACCTGTATTGCCCCTTCTGGGGCTTTGTGTTAGTGGAGGAGTTGGAATGGTGATGAAGGAAGCAATGATTAATCCAAAGGAATGAATGTCTAAGAGCAGAATCTCAAGTACCACTGCAGGGAAGCAAAGGAGAGGGTTCTCACTGTGGGGAAGGGGCCTCCATCCAGTCATTAAATCCTCCACTGTCTACTCTTTGTATGTAAAGATGACTGCAACATTAGCTGACTTTGCCTTCGGTTATCTAAGAAGATAAGCCTTTTTAAAGGGAGGTGTACACAAATGCCCTGTGAGGCAGTCTCCTGGCCTTTCTCGTAGCCAGCAATCCAAGCCTTGCCAGGGCTCAGCCCACTGTTCCCTCTCTGCAGCATGTATGACCATGTATCTTCCATTGTCTTGCATTATTCTTTGAAAGTATTTATAGAGCATATATTCCCCCTTGGCTCTCCTGCTCTTGCCTGCACATTTCGTTTCTTTAGGCCTAGTCCTCCAACCCCATACCCACTGAGCTGTCATCCTATTTTCTGAAAGTCTGTCCCCCATATCCTTCCTGTACTCCAGGGACCAGAATAGTACATTCTGGCCTGGCCTCCCAGCCTCACACTGGATTCCCTCTTTCCAAGAATAGCCACTTCATAACAGGATGGCGGAATCTACCGTCTCCAAGGCACCAGGCTCACTCCGGAAAACTGAAAAACAACGGCAAAAGAACCTTCCCTCCCCGAGTGCCTCCCTCACGCTCACCCCTCGGACACTGTCCCCACCTGCATCCCCAGACCAGGCAGAGAGGAGCACCGCATCCTGCCCAGCATCCTTACAGAACTGACACCCTTGATGAGAACACCACATAGGTGCTTTACAGACATCATTTCAGTCAATTCTCACAGACACCCTGGGCAAGAAGTTTTTTAACCCCATTTTATAGACGAGGAAACCAATATTCAGAGACACTATAAATTATTTGCCTGGCCTAACTGGCTTCTAAGAGGAAACAGATCGTATGTATGGTCATACCTTCTTGCTGCTCTGGAGAAGGCACTGGAAGTTAAGGATTAGAATGCTTCCTACAGATTCAATCTACTCTGGGGGACGGGTCTTGTGGCCAGATGGCAACACATGGAGCAGTCAGCAAAAGCCTTTCCTGGTTCTCCCGGCCCCCGTGTTCCCTCCAGCTTCTGGGTAACCCTGGTCCTGTCCCTGCCCTCCTCTCATGGCTAGATTCACAGTGAAGGTCATTGCTGCAAGAGAGATGTTTAACATGTAGGAATAAAGCACTAATGATGGTGTTTCTGTGGGTCAAAGTTCTGCAGTGGGAAGAAAGACTTCCCAGCTCTAGCAGCAGAGGGGTCCCCCTGAGTATAGGAACATGCTGATAATGCTGGCATCTGCCTAGCCTAGGGGAACCTGCTGGCCTTACCTGAGGAGAGGAGCTTGTGTGTTCGCAGGAAGCTGATTGCCAGCCGCATGATGGAGGCCTTGTCCAGATGGGAGCTCACGCTGTGGGGCAGAGGCAGCTCATGGGCCAGCTCATAGAACACCTCCGTCTCCTTGCTCCGTCGGCACCTCGCAGCATCCCGGGACTTCTCCTTCCTCCTTTCCGAAGTACTCCTAAGTGGAGAAGAAGAGGTTAATTCCCAAAAGGTTACTGTCAGCCTGTCATACCTCTGGCCAGAACTTCTCCATGGCCCCAACCCACAGTGTAGCCACCCTCCCCCACTGGACTGATCTGGGCTCAAGCCAGTTGTCTGAGCCACACACAATCTCTTTTGTATTGTTAGCTCTGCTTTTGTGTGTGTTGGTGTCTTCCCAGTCAACTTCCTCTTCTTGCATTCCCTGTCGAGGCCAGAACAGGGCTTCACATGGGTGGAGTCTGGGCAAAGACTTGCTGGTTAAGTTAACTGCCAATGCCTTGGACCTGGCCCTGGATTATCTGGGGATAGGGGTGAATGTTCAGGGATGGAAAGAGAAGCTATGATCAGTGGCTCAGACTACTTTGTCAGAGGCTTTTGAGGACAAGATAAAAAACTGCTTTAAGGTTCCTTTTCTACATAAGACACATTCAGAAAAAATAAAGAGTATAGTACTGGATGCTGGATCTCACATTATACCAGAGAGTGATTTCCACAGTAAAAACTGAAAATGCCATTATAGCCCAAGTATAGCCAGACATCCATCAGCCTACAGTACCAGTGTGCATTCTGTCAAGGATTAAAAAGCAGTGGGTACAAACATTTTCTCTCTAAGCCCTGCCAGCATAGGTTGCCAGTCTGTTTCAGCCTCATTCTCCTCTTTGTTGCAGGATGGAAGAAAAGATGACAGACACTGAAGCTTGCCTCTTTCAGGAAGTCCTAAAGAAATCCTGGACTTCCTTATTTTTTTTTGAGATGGAGTTTTGCTCTTGTTGCCCAGTCTGGAGTGCAATAGTACAATCTCAGCTTACTGCAATCTCCGCCTCCTGGGTTCAAGTGAGTCTTCTGCCTCAGCCTCTAGAGTAGCTGGGATTACAGCTGCCCACTACCACGCCCAGCTATTTTTTTTGTATTTAGAGATGTAGAGATGGGGTTTCATCATGTCGGCCAGGCTGGTCTCGAACTACTGACCTCAGGTGATCTGCCCGCCTCAGCCTCCCAAAGTGCTGGGATTACAGGTGTGAGCCACTGCACACAGCCAAAATCCTGGACTTCCTTAGAAAGTCTATGGCAAGTTCTAACACGGCAAATTTAAAAGCTAGAATGTTTAGATTGGAATTCTAACTTCTCTGCTTGTTAGCTCTGTAAATAAATCATTTAAACTGCTTGGCTTCACTTTCCTCATCTGTAAAATGATAACAATAGTGCTTACCCTACAGAGTTAATTGTGAGGACTAAATGTGATAATTTATATAAAATCTTTAGCACTAAGCCTGTTTCAACTATAAGCAATCAATGTTAGCTAATACTAATTAAAAAGATGGCCATGAAAAGACAGTTATGAGGGTTAAAAAGTTACAAAACAGTATAGGACAATTCTATTTTCATAGAAATGTATGTATTATACATAATACTTTCTATAAATTATATAGGAGAAAGGCTAGACATATAATAACTATTATTATAGGTATCACTGACATAGTGCTTACAAGTACTGTTTTAAGCCATACTACCTTGGTTTATTTAAACTCACACAACTGCTCTTGGAAGTAGGCATTATTATTATTATTATATACCTAATTTGCATATAAGGAAACTGGCCCATAGAGGCCACGTAATTCACGTGTGGCCTCCAGCAAGTAAATGGGGAAGCTGGACACTGTAGGTGGGCCCCAGAATCATGGCACTTAACCACCAGTGACTGTCCTGTCTCCTTCTACTCAAAAATGTTAGCAGTTGCAGGGTAGTGAGGCTATGGAAAGGTTTTTTTTTTTCTGTTTTGTTTTGTTTTGTAATGCTTATCTGTATTTTATTAGGTTTCTATAAATAACCTAATATTGCATATTTAATAAAGAAACAAGTCTGTTTTTTATTTTTTTTAAAGGCATCTAACTGGCCATGGTAGTATTTGTACCTCTAGTTCCAGGTACTTAGGAGGGTGAGGTAGGAGGATCATTTGGGCCCAGGAGTTCAAGACCAGCCTGGGCAATATAGTGAGACCCCCATCTCTATAAAAACATAAATAAAATGAAAGTGTCCAATGCAGTCTATAGGTTTCAAGGCCTCAATCCAATCAGCTCTAGCTGGTCTGCTCTGTCCTGCCATCTGAGATTTCCAGAGGCTGCTTCTTTTTTTGTTTGGCTTTGCAGCCTTTTATTTGAACAGAAAATCTGTATTTTGGGATTCATGGAATGTGGACATGACTCTCAAATCCCTCAAGATTTGAGGCAGAAGCACTGTTTTGACTTTACAGCATGCTTCATTTAAAAAGACAGACCGTCCAGCTCTCTGGATGGATTAAGCATCGTATACTCGGATTAAAGGACGATCTGTCCAACAGCTGTTGATGGTCAAGAAGAACCTTCAGAAAAATTGTGAAATGAGTGAAACTATTTTTCTTGTCCTGTCTCCCTTTTCTGCTTCCTTTATCTCATCCCTGTTTCCCTCTCTCCCTACCCCTGCACCCACCCTTCCTCGCCTTCTCAGGACTTGCCCTGATTAGACCTTTAGTGGTGGTTTTTATATTAGTCACTTCCACTTGCATTTTAATCCTGACCTGATTGTGGAGAAAAAGTTAAAGAATTGCAAGTATTCTGGCACAGGAAAGGAAGATGGGAAGAGGAAAGGATGCTGAAATCACACACATCATGCCTTTGACACACCAGGTGAAAGATGCTGGATTTCATTCTCCAGCACTAACCCTTGTGCTCTCCAACAAAAGCATCATTAACACATAACTTCATCATCAAGGGCCAAGAGAAGCCATCTCAGAGCGAAAGCAATCCCAGCACAGGCTATGGCATTAACACCATATACACAAAGCTTCCCTCTGACACTGCCCCTTCCTTAGAGTAGAAGAGGCAGAGAGGAAAAGCCAAGTAGGGGAAAGGCAACTTGGAATCAGTACTCTGACAATGGCATCTGATATGTGAGTCTTGCCTTGTGCCTGGTCCTGTACCAAGAAGCTTTCACATATTATCTCATTATACTCTCACTAACAACAAAATAAAGCAGGTATTAACACAATTTAGAGACATGGAAACTGAGGCTCAGACATAATATGTCATTTGCCCAATGTCACAATGCCAATGCCTACATAAGCCGTTGAAGGATTTGTAGTCAGTGAGTCCTGAGACACACAGGGAATCCCTACCTGATTCCATCCTTGCAATCAAGTGAAGTGGGCAAGATAGGTATTGTCACTGTTGCTCTTTCACAGATCTGCAAACAGACACCTGAGCAGGTAAGTTACTTGCCTAAAGCGGTCTGGCTAATTAGTAGCAGAGCTAGAGCTAGAATCCTGCTCTTCCTAGGCCAATACCCTCTTCACTGCTTAACTGCAGGAGATAGTGGCTTTAGCAAGAAATAAAGCAAAATCTTGACTTCAAAAAAAGAAAGATTGAGAATCTTAGGCAGCCTCTTGGTTCAAAAGTCAGGGAGGTAGAATTTCAGCTGAACCTAAGAGGACAAATAATGCCCTTACAGTTTTAGGAGTTTAGAAAGCACCTTTTCTTACCTGTGTTATCTCATTTGCTCCTCACAGCAACCCTGAGAGCTAGAAACTATCATAGATGAGGATGAGGATGTGGAGATTTAGAGAGATTAAATAATTTGCTAAAAACACCATCTAAACCTAGTTCTGGGTCCAAGATCAAAAATTTTTCCATTGGCAGCAAGGAAACTGTCATTTATTGTACAACTTTGATGTTCCCAGTGCTCTGCTGATACTTTCCCACAAACTGGATGTTCACACATACTTTGGAAAGAAGAGAAAGGCTAAGACTTTTTTAACTACGGTGACAAAAATTTCATGAGGGGAGACTGTCTTTAAGTGAGCACCCATTCACCTTAGGAGAACACCTGGAACATTCAGAGTAGGACTAAGAATCAGCATCAGAGTTCAGATGGGGTCCAAGGGGAAAGAAGGGAACTTGGTGCCATGAGCTTTGGCAGACACAGGTGCAGGTCACAGTCGTGCTGGGAATGTGGTGGAATGTTCATATGAACGTATCCTGGAGTGGGGCCCTAAGATGTCTGTCACCAGTAACACTGAGGGGTTGGTTGCCTAATTAGCTAGACTTTTAGAGTGATTAGGACTCACATGCCTAATGCCTGTGGCCATCCAGGTATCAAAACAATATGCCTATTACCCTACAAGGTTAAATGGCTTAGAAGCAGAATGGATTTCAGCTGGTCAAGGAGATGACTGAAGCTAATTAAGCTGACTGGGATCAGTCTATGGGTTGGTGGTGAAATTCTAAGCTGGTGCCAATTTGCAATAAGCTGCAAATGGAGGAAATAAAGGTCAAATGCAATTGGGAGAGGTCTAGTAACACTTCCATGAGGCTGGAGGTCCAGTGACACTTCCATGAGGCTTGTGGCTGCTGCACTGGAGCTGCCTGATGGGAGAAACACACCCAGCTCCAGGATCCAGAGATAAGGAAAAGTCACAGGTCCCCATACTTAGTAGTTGATTGCTTCATGGATCAAATGACAGCAGAACCAGAGTCAGTGGTTCTCAGTTTTGCGGCTCACTGGAGTCACCAGAGGAGCCTTAAAAAACAGATGCCTGGGCTCTACCCCCAGAGATTCAGATTTAATAGGTCTCAGGTGAAGGCTAGGCAATGGGTGTTTTAAAAGCTCCGCATGTGATGCTCATGGGCAGCCAGGGCTGAGGACCACTGTTCCAAAGCAGCCAGTTTTTAAAGGTAGGAGTGTGTGTGGGTAGGGGGGAAGGCAGATGGGGTTGGACTTAAATGTTTTTGGAGATGCAAACAGCTATGTCATCTTTCTCAAAGGGAAGGAAAAAAGGAAACTGACATTTATTTAGCACCAGGGCTAGGTGTATTTAATAAACAGTATCATTTGATCCTCAATGAGGCAGTGTTATCAGCCCCATTTTTGCAAAGCAGTGGTTCTTAATTTTAGCCTGCATCAGAATCACCTGGAGGACTTATTAATACATAGTTTTCTAGGCCT